TTGTGGATAAATGTGAAGCTGTGGATGGGGTATACCTAGACTTTAGTAAGGCATTTGATACGTCTCGCATGATATTCTTATCGATAAACTAGGCAAATACAATTTAGATGGGGCTACTATAAGGTGGGTGCAAAACTGGCTGGATAACCATACTCAGAGAGTTGTTATTAATGGTTCCTAATCCTGCTGGAAAGGCATAACGAGTGGGGTTCCGCAGGGGTCTGTTTTGGGACCGGCTCTGTTCAATATCTTCATTAATGACTTAGATATTGGCATAGAAAGTACGCTTATTAAGTTTGCGGATGATACCAAACTGGGAGGGATTGCAACTGCTTTGGAAGACAGGGTCATAATTCAAAATGATCTGGACAAATTGGAGAAATGGTCTGAGGTAAACAGGATGAAGTTTAACAAAGACAAATGCAAAATGCTCCACTTAGGAAGGAACAATCAGTTTCACACATACAGAATGGGAAGAGACTCTCTAGGAAGGAGTATGGCAGAAAGGGATCTCTGGAGATATTTAAGAGAAGGTTAGATAAATGTCTATCAGGGATGGTCTAGACAATATTTGGTCCTGCCATGAGGGCAGGGGACTGGACTCGATGACCTCTCGAGGTCCCTTCCAGTCCTAGAATCTATCAATCTATGAAAGGGCCTTCCCTCTTGGTGAGACACATTTTTAGCTTTAGGGGACTGTATAAATCCATTAATAAAGAAGCCTAGATTTAGCACTAGTGTCTTGTGGCAAAGGACAGTGGAATTATTCTTGAGTTAAGGGGTAAAGCCTACATTTGGTTAATATTTGTTAACAGATTTGATGTCCATAATATACAGAGGTGCTCAGAAACAATGTTGATGGGCAGGATTTTAAGTGACAAACTGTAAATATAACTATGAAGTAGAAGTGGTTGGGGCAACGCTTGTATTAACTAATAGGTAACATCTAAATGCGTCAACGCCTAGTACAGAGTAAGGGAACTCAGTTTAATATACCAGGGGTTCCTTCAGAATGAAGGCTACATTTTAGTCATGGGTATTTTTAGTAAAAGTCATGGACAGGTGACGGCCTATGACCTGACCATGACTTTTACTATATACCCCTGACTAAAACTGGGGGCGGGAGGGACAAGTTCCCTACCCAACTCCTGGGAAGCGACTGGCCCAAGGGCTGCTTGAGCTGCTCAGGTGGCTCCCGGGCCAGCCGCACAGGCTGCTGCAGAAGTCACGGAAAGTCACGAAATCCATGAGCTCTGTGACCTCCATGACAAACGTGGAGCCTTATTCATAATAAATGGGGAACTGAGTGATATACTGAGGTATAATTTAAAATAAACGGTTCTTTATAGTCATTTGCAAGGTTGGCATCCCATGGAAGATGAAGTGAAAATGCAAGAAATGACCAGCACAAATGAAAAAAGAAAATTTTATTTCTCAGTGTTTCTTCACTGTCAATACTGTCCTTTTTGATACAACACATTGCAAAAAAATCTCTGCTTTTTCCATTTTAAACAACTACAATATTTACAGGCGGTTTTCAATAACACACACGCAGACACATACACGCTTACAGACACACGCAAGAACATGTATCCCTATCCCTGGCAAGATATCCATATGCTGGTAGAGGCAATGTGTATTTTTCATAGCCCATTCAAAACTCAACCCACTCTCCCCATCTATGTTTTATTCCCCTCCTCCCTCAATTTTCTAATCAGCAGCTCATTGTCAGGCCTACTTAGGGTCCTTATGGAACAAGTTAACATTCAGCTCTATGTCATCTGTCTATTAAAGTCATGGGATGATTGAATTTACCAGAGGTTATATATTCAAACTGTACACCAGAAATTATTAGATTGCTTGTATTCAAATGTTTGTGACTGAGTGATGTACATATACTCCTGAAGTCTTTTGGAGCAGCCATCTTAAATCATTTTTCTTGGAAATATACGTATACAACACTGAGGTGAAACAAGTAATGTACTGTAGTTCCCACCAAGGTGTTATGTAACCATTCTTTTATTAAGGCACATAAATACAACTAATTTCTTACACTGTCTAGCTTCACTGAGTGAACATCAGGCTATCATGTACTGAGTAATGCCAGACAACAAGAAGAGTTAAAGCCTATATAATAGGTATAAAATCCCCTTAATAAAATTAGCTACATAAAACCTGGTGGTTTAACCAGATATCCAATATGAGTTACTTATATATTTTGAATGATTATTCATTATAAGAAATCCAAGTTGTTCTACTCCAGTTTGTGGAGGGAGAGTCCATTTTCTATTAATAAAGGTCTTCAACAAGTATAAGTTATGTATCTATACCACTGGGTCATTTAGTCTCTTGGATGTGGTATCAGTGAAATGATTCACAGTTGGATATTATTCCCCAAGGCAAAACTTTTAGGGCATCTGCCACAAACTGCCAAAGGCACTAATACCACAGCATATCTATTCTGAATTTTCAGTTAATTATTCACCTAAGGTCTGCCCTAAAAGATCACCATCTCACAGAAAGCAGAATGGGGTAGAGGAAGGACTGGAGATGAACTGCAAAGAGTTAATATGAAAATTGAGTCAAGGTCAGAAATGTGCCAAGTGCCCCACTAAACAGGATATAGGGCCATTCAACTACTTACCTTTTTTAAAATCCTTCCTCCCCCAACCCCATTGTGAAATCCTCTATCACTTCCTAGTTTGCAAGAGAGATCCCAGAATTAATCCATCACTCCATGACATCACAGATACCATGAGTTGCATAGAAATTCAGGTATCAGTGGTGGTCATATGCATTCTGGGATGTCATTAGCAAAACCAGGAAGTATCAAAAGATTTCACAGGTAGCTAGTGTGGGAGAGGAGGAATTCAAGAATTTAAGTTAACTTTAATTGTGTTTTGCTGCTGAATGCCCCTGCAATTTGCTTAGTACAGACAGTCAGTGTATTTCTGTACTTAAATATTCATTTTAGCTCAGCAATAAGCCCTTAATGTATTTATCTACAAATACCACCTTTAGAGAAATCTACTTACAGAAACAAAGTAGATGTGGATCCATATTCCAGGACACTACAAAGCTAGTCTTAACTGGAATGTTAATACAGCAAAATACCAGCAACACACAATGCTGCCAGAGGATAGGAGTGAAACCCTGCCACCACCTTTCTACAAGGCTGAAGTTTCCATGTTGGACTGAGAAAGTTTAAGAACTCTATTCTACAGCCATGACACTCTAGTCTGGTAGGACAACAATGTGAGAATATTCAGTGCTTCCACTGCCCCTCAAAAATAAAAAATTCGTATGCCTCAGTATTAACTTCTAACGATTACACCACCACAAAAATGAAAGCATAGCAATCAATTTAAAATAAATCTTGCTGGAGCACAGGCTGACCTAACATATTTGGAGTCAGAAGAATTTGGGTAGGGTTTTGTCCATCATGAAATCAAGAGCCCACTAATTTTATACAAATTAATAGACAATCCAATATAAAATAATTGAGATAATTTAAGGACTTTATAACCAAGTAACTGGAATATTGTAAGGTGAAAGAATTTTTAAAAGCCGTATGGAAGGGTAAAATTGCAATTAGCTGATTTTTAGTGAGCATATCTGAAAACAGTTAATAGTAAATTATTAGGATTTACAAGCAGTTTTGGTGTTGGTGAAATACAACTATCTGAATGACATCATACAGACTTACTAATAACACTTTCAGCAGAACAACGTTGCAATTGGTGTTCAAATGTCAACAGATTGGAAACCTTAAGATTAAAAATAGAGATCCACAAGTCATATTTACTGTTTAAGACATGCCTTGGTTCTTCTAAACTTTACCTTTTAATTTAACTTTGAATAATAAAGTGTTACTGTAGTATTTTTATATAGCCTCAAAGCATATTATTAGGAATGGACTTGTTTCTTGCCCAAGAGAGAGTAACAGAGATTGCACATAAAAACCATATTTGAAGAGGTGCTTCATCCAAGTTGTGATTTTTTATAATGGGCTGTATGTATTTACTTTGCTTTTTAAGCATCTGATTCTCTCAAGGCATCAGAACAGTAAAGAACCCTTGTATGAACACCAAAATCCCCAGAGAGGATGCTCATTCGTTCGTCTTTGTGAAACAATATTCCAACTGATCAAGGAAATCGATCTTGTAATTGTCAGCAGAGAAAGGGCATAAAAGTACAAATCTTCATTAAAAATGTGTTCAACTCAAACAGAAATTTTCTTCACTCATGACAGCAAAGCTACAAAACTGCCAATGAAGTCAGCTACTTCACTGTTTTCAGATAACTAGGAGATAAATGTAACCACACTATCATGTGCACGTTTGGGAAGGTGTTTGGAACAGAAAAATGATTTCTAAGGTGATAGATTCTGAACTGTGCATTTATGCAAAGATTAAATACTGCATATGTATAAACTGTACAGTAATATGCAATTGTAAAATGCACAGTACATCAAGTGTACAAGCTTTGCATAGTATACAACATAAGCAAAGCCCTACAACAGTGCACTAGGAATAGGATTCATAACTGACCAGACACTAGGCATAGAAAAGACTACTTTTTCATAGCTAAAAGCATATAGTAACTTGAGTCAGAATATCTACACTGCTTTGCAGTAGGCATTTGCTTCCTACATTTTCCTTACCCCTTGTATATTTACTCTTACATAAGTATATAATGGACTAGATTTCAGTGCTGACAGAGAAATAATTGCAACACATCCCCTGCAATCTGCTAAAAGTCTCCCCCAGTTATACTACCTAGGAAGAAGAGGTAATGATGGGGGAGAGAAGATGGCTGCTCTCAAAAGCTAGGACTGTGTAAAGTTCTCTGCAGAACTGAGCATAATTCCAGATCAGAGACAGGAAACAATCACAACATGTACATTTTTCTCATGGATTCAGAGAATCAAGTCAGAGGAGCTGCAACTTAAAGAATTTTTCACTTGACCAGAGCTCAAAGAGCCGGGAAGTTCTAAACTGAAGTTTTCTCCTCACACCTCCATGGTAAATTTGAGTTACTTGTTTCCCTGAAGAACACATTTTAAAAAACACAATAAAACCTAGGATATGTAACACATGAATAATTGAACTTCACAGTTATAAATACTCAAATTACAGTTACATAGAATATATAATAATTGAAAATAAAATTCAAGTCATAGAAAAGAATGAAGACTAGAGGGAAAGGAAAGGTGAGATGGTAAAAATGATACAACAGTTTAGGGCTGTGCCTCCTCTATAATTCCTTTAAAAAAAAAAACCCAACCAAACCTCAGTTGTTTAACTGGATTGAATCTGAAAACCTTCAAGGTCACAGAAAATAGACCTGGATCATGGACTAAGATTCACCTCTACCTCCCTCAAAAATCAAGTGCCTTTTCCAGAGAAGAGCCGTCAGTATAACTGAGTTAGCTCCAGGGGTAAAGGAGCAGAGAAGTCAGGACTATCTAAGGGAGACAAAGGATGCAAATTAGTGCATTGGGACCCACTTTAAAGCTGAATATGTTGTACAGATGATTGATGCACCACAACCAAAACAGCCTTTGATATAGTTATGGGGATATTCAGGTACATTACTAGATATTTGGTATTCTGCCATTTATTCTGAAAAGGATGCAATGCACTGATATGAAATACAGACTATTGAACCAAACAGAATCCCTGGCACAGCTTTTACCGTCAACATGTATATGGAGAGGGAGGGGGTTAATCCCAAAGGCAATTTAAATAATGATATTTTATTTATATATAAATAAATGTTCTGAGCAATCTCAGATATTTTAGTGCATCGCTGTAAAAAATTAGTGCAGTTCTCTCATTAAAGATTTTAGCTCACAAGGAAGAAGATAATCTATATGTCTGTTCAGTCTCTCGCCATACATAAAACCTCTATACAGCTTTACGCTGAACCAAAGCTTTGTATGCTAGTCACTTTCTTCAAATAAGGTAAATGGACGCCACATCCTCTGTGACAAAACATGGCAATTTTTGGCAAAGCAATAGAAAAATATGAGGCGCTCGTATTTTAGAACTGAAGTTTGTTGATTTAAAGCAATACACAATGCATAAAACAAAGTTTCAAAACAAAAATGATGTCTCAACAAATCTTTACCCTTCATGCAAATGTTTCCTCAGCAGCTAACAACTTAAACCCCCCCAGCTCTTACACTTCTTTATTTTGGGGAAGGGCCTTCTACAAGCCCCGTTTTCAAGTCCTGTTCTATAGCTGGACTAAAGTTTCATGCCCGGGGAGCATCCTCTCCTGACCCCTCCTCTCTTCTGAATCCTTGGAGGAGGGGAAGTTTAATTAGCAGTGTGGCTCACACTTCAGCCCCAAGTTCTAGGACTCCAGTTTCAACCACAGCAACATATTTGTCTTCAATCTGGACCAGCAGGATGGTTTTATCTATGTGGGACCTACTCCCTGGATCTCTGCTGCAAGGCACCCAGCGGTGAATCACCTGGAGAAGGCAATCATAACAATATGAAAGGTTAGTTCCACACGGATTACTGCCATTTCATGGTGTTGATTTATAATTCTGTACCATAACAAGGCAGAGGCAAAAGTATTGAAAATGTCATACAACCTAACCACACATTTTTCAATGGTAATATATCCATGGCTATATTATTCTTGTAATACTTCCTCAAAATCTGCTATAATCTCTTCATGCCAGTAAGGAAAGCTTGGAAATACACCAAATAACTACAGAAATGCTGTTTGGCACACAAAATCCAATCTGAGGAAGACATATTTTGAGGAAAGAGGCCTATAAAGGAGGTAAGACTTTACTTTTCTGTGCTCTGCAGAATCTTAGCTTTTCTTTTTGGTTTTCCTACAACCATAGAGTTTTCTAGTCCTCTAGATACAATAGATGAAGACAGTCCTTCCTACTGCATATTACTAAACCCCTGTGTTTTTGTATCTATAGCAGTAAAGGATGAAAACTCAGAGGTTTACTTTCTGTCATTCATCTCAGTGGAGTGTTAAAAGAATACTTAAGTCTGTTTAAAAACACACTCATCGAGCTTAAACTGTTACATATAAATTGTAAAGAACAGCTGGGGTTGGATTTCAGCAAGAGGAATCAAGTTAATCCAAACCAGACCCCATGTTAACCACTGCAAACTCAGCGAAGAGCTGGGGGGTGGGGGAAGACAAGGAGGAACTTGGATATAATGAAGCTCCATTTACAGTGAAAATAAAGAGTCCCAAATTATTTTGGTGCACTGCAGTGAACAAACTGCTATTTAGGTTATAGTGATGCTCTAATGATTTAGACCAATGAGACGTGAAATATTACACTCCTCCCCAAAAGAGACTTTCAGAAACACAGGTTTGTTCTCTATCTCTACAAATTATTCACAAGATACCACAGAAAGGAACAGGATTTCAGAAGCATTATTTGCTGTCTGTGCAGGAGCTTTGGTAAACTGCATTTCTTCAACCAAGAAAATGTGTGCTATTTTGGTATACATTTAACACACTTTCACAAGGCAGGGTACTGTATTGTATTTAATAGAAAAGCAGAAGCACACTTAGGAAAGAAGCAGGATGCACATAATGTTGAGAAATTTGAGACCAATTCAGTTAAGTCACGTTTAAAAGCATAATTTTTAAAAAAAGTATAAATGTAGGGCCAACAAAAACCCCTCAGTGATCACAGGAGAATGAATACACACTTTCTGAAAGCCAGTGCACAGAACATCTCAAACAAAAACCCAAGTCATTTCTACACTTTTTTTGAAACACAGCTTACAAACTAGGTACAGAGACACACACAGATCTTAGAGCAGAGGTTCTGAACCCTTCATTGTGGGAGCTCTGGTCCTGCCCATCTCATGTTCCATCATGCAGTGTCCAAAAACAGATTCTGTCCATTCATTCTTCACTCTCCCCTCCAAACCTTTTCCCCTTTCTTTTTGTTCGTTTTTGCTCTGGTTCACTGCTTCTCTCCCTAGTTACTCCCTCTGAAAGCTATTCTCTTCCCCATGGTTACTCAACAGAAAGCTACGCGCTACTTGGTGTGGGGGTGTGCTCATTAGTGGCTCAGTGGTCCAGGACACATGCTCCTGCAGCTGAGGGGGATGTTTTGAGAGTTTTCAGGCAGTGCCTTTGGCTAGTAAGCAGTTTCTTGTGTCCCAGCGTGCACAAGCATCTCCCCTGCTCAGTTGCATTAAAAGACTGCAAAAGGAGCTATACCCATCTCCTAGAACTGGAAGGGACCTCAAAAGGTCATCGAGTCCAGCCCCCTGCCTTCACTAGCAGGACCAATTTTTGCCCCAGATCCCTAAGTGGCCCCCTCAAGGATTGAACTCACAACCCTGGGTTTAGCAGGCCAGTGCTCAAACCACTGAGAAGTGAGTTTCAAGTGAACTTTACCAACAGCAGCAAGTTTGTTATAGGGAGTTGGAGTAGATCTAATGTCATGAAGGTTTTACCACACAACTCCTTCTACGCATACTCCGGGAGGGAGTGCCCTCCCTCTTTCCCCAGGTTAAAAGACACCATCCTAGAGAAAAACTGCTAGCACTATGTTCCAGAAAGGAAGTAATGCTCCAGAATTACTAAACAGAACTATTCACACAAATATTAATAGAAATAAACATTTAGATCAGCAGCTTATTCTAACCTTCAAACCCTCTCTTTTTAACCACCTTCTTATCATCCAACAGTGTAGATGATGGCATCCTGTGACAAGCAAGGCCAGTTAACAAATTCCTTGGAAGCAATTGCCAAGTGACGCTGGCCAACTGCCAAGGAGTACTCAGAATGATATGCATTATCACTAGGATATGCCTTATCTGCAATGGCTAACACAGTAAGTTTCAAAACTAGAAGGCACAGTATTAACAACCTAGACCCTTTAATTTGCTTATTGTGTCTTATATACAATACCACTAGCAGCTGCTGTATTAAGTCAAGTTTACAGCTTAGATTTAATGTACATGAACCATAAGAGTGGACTGCCAATGGCAATACAAATTCAGTCAAGGACAAGGGGAATTTATTTCTGTGTTCTTCATTCACACACTTAAAAATCAAGTTAGACTTTAGCTGTTCATGGAAGCCAATACTTCTGAGCATAAGACACCGTAATAGTGGTTAGAACAGAGCACTGGGTGTCGAGTTCATTTCCCTGCTGCCACTATCTGCTCTTGAACAAGTTGTAACTACTCTGCACTTCTCTTTCTTCCCTCTCTTCCCCAATAGGTACAATAGGCATAAGTTTTTACCATCTTCATAAAACACTTTGAGAGTCTTTGTTGAAAGGTGCTACAAGGAAAAAGTATGTTGCATTTTTGGCTGCCAATTCAAAGAATGTTTTTTCCTTCAGGACAAAATTTCCCATATGACAAGCCCTACAAGAAAGTTTAGGATGTTTTAAAAAGTCTCCTTAGGGTTCTCAAGGCTGATTGAAAAGAACTGGGGTAGGGTGGATCAAAGATTTTATAAAACTGTATATTTCTAAGAGAATCTCAGTACCCAGCCTCCCTGGAATAGCTTCCTGGATGCTTGGGGGGAGTGGAGGCTGTAACCTCCACCAGTTTATTTTCTAATGCATACCACTGAATGCCTATGTGGGAAGTCTGAATTGCTAAGCATTAGGAAGTACACTGCTACCTCGATATACCACCACCCGATATAACACGAATTCGGATATAATGGGGTAAAGCAGTGCTCCGGGGGAGGGGGGGAGGGGCTGCGCACTCTGGTGGATCAAAGGAAGTTCAATACAGTGTTATATCGAGGTACCTGTTCCCAGTGCCAATCAATACATGCACACATCATTTTAGAGTAGTAGTGTGTCTTCCCTGGTAGTTCTTATGCCTTTTATATTTAAGGGCATTCTGACTTATTTGATTGTATCATTCAGCTCTGAATATTATAGTGATCTTGAAGAACACCCCTGTTGGGGCCGAGCACTGATCCAGGAATGACTAACTGTGTATAAGTAAAATGATGAGATTTCTGAAAGGTAGAGTTGCAGTTTTCTAGAAAGGAAACTATTTCAGTACATAATAATCCTCTCCACTAGATGCAGTGAACGCTGAAGGTGCAGCTCTAACAGCGGAGGAGGAGAAGGGGGATTATAATTAATACGCCACTGGAAAAAACTTAAGACTATATCTTTGTTTTCAGTTGAATCTCAGAACTTCCTTTTTATATACAGAAATGAACTGGAGCCCTAATTGTGTTATCTAACAAAGTGACATTTAAACATAATTGACTCAACTCTATTTGCATTATAGTGATTTGATTTAAAGCCAAATGCCATTAACCAAGCAATTCCTGTAATATTAAGGCTGGCTAGTAAATTCATCTTTAGCATACTCTCAGGAGTGGATAATTTTAGGAAAGGAAAACTGAAGGCTGGGTTGAATAGAACTGTAATTTAAATGCAATGCACATAAGGGTTTTGCTTTAGGTTTATTTGTTGTTGTCTTTTGTTTAGGGCTGTCGATTAATCGCAGTTAACTCATGCAATTAACTCAAAAATTAATTGCAATTAAAAAAATTCATCGCGATTAATTGCAATTTTAATTGCACTATTAAACAGAATACCAATTGAAATTTATTAAATATTTTGGATATTTTTCTACATTTTCATAAATATTGTATTGTGCTGTAATTGAAATCAAAGTGTATATTATTTTTTATTACAAATATTTGCACTGTAAAAATTATAAACAAAATAGTATTTTTCAATTCACCTCATACAAGTACTGAAGAGCAATCTCTTTGTTGTGAAACTGCAACGTACAAATGTAGATTTTTTCCCCCCTTACATAATTGCACTCAAAAACAAAACAATGTAAAACTTCAGAGCCTACAAAGTCCACTCAGTCCTACTTCTTGTTCAGCCAATCACTAAGACAAACAAGCTTGTTTACATTTACAGAAGATAATGGTGCCCTCTTATTGACGTCACCAGAAAGCGAGAACAGGCATTTGCATGGCACTTTTGTAGCCGGCATTGCAAGGTATTTACATGCCAGATATGCTAAACATTTGTATGCCCCTTCATGCTTCAGCCACCATTCCAGAGGACATGCTTCCATCCTGATGATGCTCGTTAAAAAAAAAATGTGTTAATTAAATTTGTGACTGAACTCCTTGTCGGGGAACTGTATATCTCCTACTCTGTTTTACCCACATTCTGCCATATATTTCATGTTACAGCAGTCTTGGATGATGACCCAGCATATGTTGTTCATTTTAATAACACTTTTGCTGCAGATTTGACAAAATGCAAAGGTAACAATGTGAGATTTCTAAAGATAGCTACAGCACTCAACCAAATGTTTAAGAATCTGAAGTGCCTTCCAAAGTCTGAGGGGGATGAGGTGTGGAGTGTGATTTCAAAAGTCTTAAAAGAGCAACACGCGAATGCGGAAACCACAGAACCCGAACCACCGAAAAAGAAAATCAACCTTCTGCTGGTGGAATCTGACTCAGATAATGAAAATGAATATGCGTCAGTCCGCACTGCTTTGGATTGTTATCAAGCAGAACCCGTCATCAGCATGGATGCATGTCCCCTGGAATGATGGTCGATGCATGAAGGGACATATGAATCATTAGCACATCTGACACAGATTTCTTGCTATGCCAGCTACAACAGTGCTACGAGAATGCCTGTTCTCACTTTCAGGTTGACACTGTAAACAAGAAGAGGGCAGCATTGTCTCCTGCAAATGTAAACAAGCTTGTTTGTCTGAACAAGAAGTAGGACTGAGTGGACTTGCAGGCTCTAAAAATTTTACTTGGTTTTATTTTTGAAAGCATTTTTTTTGTACATAATTCTACATTTGTAAGTTCAACTTTCATGACAAAGAGGTTGCATTACAGTACTTGAATGAGGTGAATTGAAAAACACTTTTTTTTACAGTGCAAATATTTGTAATAGAAGTAATTTAAAAATGAGCACTGTACACTTCACTTTGTATTCTGTGTTGTAATTGAAATCAGTATGTTTGAAAATGTAGAAAACATCAAAAATATTTAAATAAATGGTACTCTATTATTGGTTAACAGTGCGATTAATTGTGCGATTAATTTTTTTAATCGCTTGACAACCCTACTTTTGCACCCTTCGGATTGGTTTCAGAAATTTCACCCAGTTCAAGTGAGGGCCTAGGCTTCTTCTTGCATACAGGTAGTAACTCAAAAGAACATCTGCTCAATGAGCATATGATCAAATATATCTTTTGAATGGTGTCGGCACAGTGTTTCAGACTGACCTTTAACAAAGTTGACTCCCCCGCCCCCCTCCCCAATTCACAAAATCAGCTTCCAAGTGAAACTTACATGGCCTTCCATGCCTTCCTGAGGACTCCAGTCTTTCCAGCTATTTCTTCCAGCTTTTAGCCGTATCACCTCATCTGGCCACTGCAGCTCCTTCCTTTTAGACATGTTGATCCCTTCCAGTACTTGGCTGGGATCCATTATCTAAAATGAAAAATAGAAATTGATTTTAGACTATTATGGAGCCAATTAATGGTTAATAGTGAACCCATAACTGTTCCCTTAGATGCTACTCATAAAAATGTTGCTCTTTAAAGGACTGATCTTGCACCCACTGAAGTCAATGGCAAAGCTTCAGTGGATTTCAGTAGTGCAGATTCAAGCCTTAAGTTAGCTAAGAGCTACACTTCAAAAAACTTGAGTGGCACAGGCCTCCAGATTTGGGAATGCAGAGCACAAGGCTCAGAGGATTTATCACTAGGTAAAAGAACGAAGTTCCATTTAGGATGCTCAGCAGAGACAAGCCAGTGTTTTGAAATTAACAGGCTTTCTGCACTTGGAAGAGGCCAGCAGGAAAGCATTGTGGAAAACCTCCCTCAACTTGTGAACAAGCAGGAGCTGCTTAGATACCCACCATCACACTAAGAGTTTACAGAAGGGACACGGAAGAAATATTTTTGGGAAAAAACAGTTTTAAAAGAGCGTCCCTGAACGTTAGCAGATCTTAGCTGTAGTTTATACTTAGTCCACCCCTGCCTGCATACAAAAGCTACAAAACTGAGGCCTGCCAAATTTATTCGCAATTGTCTGTCGTTACTGAATGACTATGACCAAGGCAGGCTTCACTATGGTATTAAGTTTTGTCACCATGTGACGCAAGCTGGATACGACCTTTGTCCTATTAGTGACTTCTTCTAAATTTATCCCAGCAACGCTCTATTGTAAACATATACAAGGGTTTATTGAAAGCCACATAAGCTAGAGTTTGTGTTTAACTTCCAGATTTCAACAAAACTACCAAGATTTCCCCCGGCAACTTAAATCAATGGTGAACTGGCACATGCTCAAAGACTTTGTATGTGGCAATAACCAAGAAGTGAACAATGAAAAAGAAACTGACAATATTTTTACAAAAACAACAAGGAGTCTGGTGGCACCTTAAAGACTAACAGAAGACTTGCATCCGAAGAAGTGAGGTTTTTACCCACGAAAGCTTATGCCCAAATAAATCTGTTAGTCTTTAAGGTGCCACCAGACTCCTTGTTGTTTTTGTAGATACAGACTAACACAGCTACCCCCTGATACTTGACAGTATTTTTACAGTGACTTCTACAGAAAATTTTCTTAGTTTGCAAATCAAAAGATACAAACTGCCAGCACTGCAAAGGAAGCTGTTCTGCCTTTCATGTTACAACCAGTAAATAAAGATACCGCAAGCAAAACTAAGCTTATAATTTTGTTGTTAATGTATGAAGCAGAACAGAATCTAGCTGACTTTCTCACAGCTGTGTACTAAAATAAAACATGTCTGTAATGTGAGTGGATATTGCTCAGTATTCCAGTACGCCACCTGTTCAGCAAAATAAAGATGAATCTTTCTAGTCATAACTGCACTTCTGTTCTGCACTGAGAAACTCCAGGACATGTGTGTAGATAGAAGGCAGAGATAGTGTTATTTAGTTACCACAAGGTGTAAGATGATAAAAATACTGTAATGAGGGGAAAAAATAAGGGCTAAAAAAGTGTAGATTAACATGTTCTTCTGGCTGATTCACCTGGATTCTGTAAATAACTTCATCCCTTTTGGCTTGCATATGGTTTGCAGGGCTTGCATTACCACCTGACTGTGCATCAGTTATGTTATTCCCGCCTTCTGTTCCTAGAAAGCCCACAAGGGCATGCTGTTTACAGGCTGGGATGCTTTGGCTGGAGCTGCTGGAAGAGGGTAGGCCATGCTGCACGATGACAACGCCAGTCTGGCTAGTGGGTTCCATTTGGTTCACCATGGATAGGCGGGACTGGATGGAGGATGGGAGGTTACGAAGGGATATCTGACTGGTGGAAGAGCGTCGGCAAGGCACAAAGCCTGTAGTGGACGTGCGAAGTGATGAATGGCGACTGCTGTAGCAATAAGATGAATGGCTGGCTACTGAGGCACGGGCAGGGGAATGTCTGACAAGGCTTGACTGCACAGAGTGGGAGCTGTGACTGGTGCCTAAAAGAAAACAAAAAACAAAAACAGAATCAGGAGAGTTGATAGTTTTAATACATGCCTGCCACACATTTTAGATTTTAGACACTTACACAAAAGTGTTCTTGCACCTCGCTACAAAATTGATGGGCATATTAAAAATGCCTAGAATACTTCAGAGACAAGATGTACTGGTCCTCTCAACAATGAAATATTTGAATATGTTCAATTAATCTTAACTGGTTTAAGAAACTGATATTACATTGCTAGGAGCATAGATGCAAAAGTGTAAGTGTCCTTGATAAGTATGAGCCCAGCTCTTATTGCATTAATGAAGTATTTCTTTAATGCTCAAGAATTTGGTTTCTCATTCTACGTTGTCCAATTCTGTCAGTAACATTTGCAGTGTTTCAAAACACCAAATATTCTTAGTCAAACATGTGGCTTGACTGCACTCCTAAATGTGCATCAGAAAGTTTAGTTACTATTGCTGCCATTTTAACAAGTTCTGAAATGTTCAATTAGATTTGAAGTTGTCAAAGAAAAACCATAAGCATTTTAGCTCTTATTAGTGTTATTTAATGCATATTAATTAATGCTTCTCTCTGGTGCCAGACAGTTGTAGATACCCCATCACAATTATGGACCTTATAATGCTGTATGGTATGATAAGATTCAGAAGCTGGCAATGTACTAATCTGTAAAATAGTTCTATTTTTCTTGAAAGGCAAATGAAAGCAACTATACCTAAGGAAACACACAAGCTCAATTACCTCCAGTTCCTCACTAGATCACTAACGGCACTTTCTTGGATACTGTTTAACAAACCCTGTAGCAACAGACAATTTACTCCACAGTAGCAGTAAGGTTGTAGTAGCATAAAAGATAGATATTCACATGTATAAAACTCTTGCTATGAGTTTGGTATTTGTGAACACAAGGGAACAGTAGAACTGGTGTAGGTTAGCCATACTGTAGGGAAGTGCTATGAAAGGTTATCCCACTCAGCTCTGGTCAGCATATCAATCCTGATCTGCAATCCTCAAACCATTCCAGTAGCGGTCCAGAGACCTGCCACTGTGCTAAACTGCATTGTGATTTTGGGATATGAATCCATTACAGAATCAAATTAATTTTGTGCTTGTAGCCCAGCCCTGATCTACAGTGGTGAAAAATACCATTCCCTCTGGGACAGCTAGCCTATGTACAGTTCCAGTATTTTATATAATATACACACTTTAGGTTAGTTTTACCTAATGTTGAGGGGTGAGATGTGACAGGAGGATGGAGTCCCACTCCAGGGCCCTGCCCTGTAATTAAATTCCCGCCTGCTTGTGACATGCTGCTTTGCGACTCATTGGCAGCTGCACTGTTACTTGTGCAGGGAGCCCCACCTCCAGCATCTGAATCTTCAATGTTTCCACCACTGTTGCAGCCAGCACCACAACCTTTCCTTAATCTGAGAACACAATGAGAAACAACTGTATTAGCGAACAGAAAAAAGTGACCAGACATCTGTTTCAACTATATTGCTTTTTCCTTCTGTACTATGCTTTCCCCAACTTGTAGGTTGCTATCTGAGACAGCACTAAAAATATTTTCCTGACAAACATTTAAGTGATATTTACTTTTATTTATGTAGTTCCAACTGTTTAAAAATGTGACTTTGAGAATTCAGTGGTACTACTTTTAATAACAAATACTAGACTTTATTGCTCTTCTATTTTGTGGTCATATTAGCACCAGAGTTTATGCTGTTCTGTCTATAATGGCAGTCATTTATCTGATCTCTAATTTCAGGCTTTTCCTCATACTTTTTCTCTCTTTATGTTTAAAGTGAGCAGGAAAAAACTGTTAGCTCTTTTCATCTGTTTCTTTTTTTATTGCTTTAGCAATGGATTTCAGTTATGACATACTTTAGTGACTATGATGTGCTAGGGTTCTTTGAGATTTTTATACTACCCATGCCAGCATTTGAACATTTAGGTGGGCTAATAAATTTGTTAGTTACAGCCTGTAAGCTTTTATTTTTACTATGTTGCTTGGAAAGCTACGCTTCATTTAGACTCACTAAAGAAAGCACATTTACTCATCCTCCAGTCCCTAGTACTACCCTTGTTCTTCTGTTCTCAAATACATTGCTAAATCCTTTCCCAGTCTCTTTGCTTCTTGATCTAGGATTTTGAAGTATAATTAGCTTAGGTCTAATGCTTTGTTATGGTACTGTGACAGGTTATTCTAGCAATATGCTGGAGAAGTGGTTTGGGGTGGAGAAGAGATACATCAGGGTTTGCAGTAAATACACCACAAAATTTTGAGGAAGCAGCCAATTTGTATTTATATACTGTAGGTGTACAACGTGGTTATACCTACATTTAGTCAAATACTCGTGTAGTACTGACTAACTTTTAGAATGTTGCTTACATATTCAAAGTGCTGTACAAAGTCATCAATCTTGAAAGCATTAATGCCTTGCATAATTTTACTCATGAGAGAGTCCCAGTTACTTCAGTGGGACTACTCACATATTTAAGCATGTTAAAGTCCCAGATCTGCATCAATCTTCCCCACACCTTTGTGAAGTAGATAATTATACTCCTCTTATGGACAGAATAAACTGAGGCATTGAAAATGACACACTCAAACCCCACAGCACCTCACTGGCACAGCTGAGATTACAACTCAAGGCATAATATTTCCACCTAGAATTTTTTTTATAAGTTGTTAAAATTGGACACGATATTCTAATTGACAAAATTCTTGTGATGTTGTTCACGTGGCCTGCTGAATAACACTCTTGCCATAGCAGTGGCCATGTGTTGCAGGGGAAAATACTGAGAGGCATCCACACTTCTGTGATTGAATGCCATAAATTATGCTCTGCTAAGATGTACTAACATCTTAGTACATCTTAGCATTGACAGTGATGTTGCTGAATAGCTGAATGCTCTTGAGAACTCATTCCCATAGCTCACCTGTGCCATGTGGACACTATGAAGTTTCTGATATTTCCCAAACTGATAGCTCCCCCAAGAAACTCCTTGAGCTGATCATGGCTATCTGAATAGGAAGTAGTCAAAGGTGAGACGTAGATGGGGTATCCAATGGGCTGGTCACAAGAAGAATTGATCATATTCCTCAAAGCCTGCTTTGCATTTTGGATGCTCCCTCTTTCTGGGTTACGGTTACGCAGGAAGACAAGTTCCTGCTGCTGCCCAGCCCAGAGGCCACGCACACACTCCTTATTTACCTGCAAAAGAACAGCAAAAAAAATCAAGAAAAAAAGGACATACTGGAAAACTAGTCAAGGGGAGGAAGAAAAAAAAGCTTCTAACCTTCCATAACTGTTGTTCTTTGAGATGTGTTACTCATGTCCATGCCAATATAGGTGCGTGCTTGCCCCGAGCACTGCCACCGGAAAGTTTTTCCCTCTGTGGTATCTATCAGGTTGGGTGTGGTGCCCTCTGGAGTTGTGCTCTCATAGCGCTGGTATAAAGGACCCTGCCGACTCACCGACCCCTCAGTTCCATCTTGCCGGCTAATTCCGATAGTGAGGTAGGAGTGGGAGGTTTTGGATTGGACATAAGCAAAACATCTCGGAGAACAGCAGCTACAGAAGGTTAGTAACCGTTTTTTCTTCTTCGAGTGCTTGCTCATGTCCATTCTAATGTAGGTTACTCCCAAGCAGATGTAAGGGGTGGGGGTTGGAGTTCATTGACAAGCAGATTGTAGCACTGCTCTGCCAAACCTAGCATCGTCTTTAGCCTGCTGAATCATGGCATAGTGAGATGCGAAAGTGTAGACCGAAGACCATACTGCCACTCTACAGATGTCCTAGATAGGGACCTGTGCCACAAATGCAACTGAAGATGTTTATGCCCTTGTGGAGTGTGCTGTCAGGGACAGAGCCGGGACTTTCATCAGATTATAGCATTTGTGGCTACAGGACGTGATCCATGATGAGATTCTCTGGACTGAGACTGAAAGACCCTTCATCCTGTCTGTAATAGCCACAAAAAATTGAGTAATTTTTCAAAATGGATTTAGTTCTTTCCGTGTAGAAGGCCAGCGTGTGTCTGACATCTAGTTAGTGAAGCCTCTGCTCCTGTTTGTTGGCATGCAGTTTCAGATAGAAGACCAGAAGGAATATGTCCTGATTACTATGGAATTGTGAAACCATCTTTGGGATAAAGACTAGGTGAGGACATAACTCGACCTTGTCCTTGAAGAATACTGTGTATGGAGGTTCTGAAGTAAGGGCCCTAATCTCCAATACCCTTCTGGCCTAAGTAATGGCCACCACGAAAGCCACCTTCCAGGACAAATAGAGCAGAGAATACATTGCCAATGGCTCGAATGGGGAACCTATGATCCTTGAGAACACCAGGTTGAGATCCCATGGGGTACAGCCTGTCAAGTCCCTTGAGAAACCAACTGCAGATCGAGTTTGCAAAGATGGACCAGCCATTCACCCACAGATGAAAAGCCAAAACTGCAGTCAGGTGGACGCTAATCGATTAAACCAATAGCCCTGCTGTTTCAGGTGTAGCAAGCAGTCCAGAATGAATGGTATTGATGATTGCATGGGCAAGACACCTTTCTGCGCTCACCAGATCAAGAACCTTTTCCAATTTGCCAGGTACACAGTTCTAGCGGACGGCTTTCTACTCCCTAAAAACTTCTCGAACTAGTCCGGAGCATAAGCTTCCAGACCGTGAGATGAAAAGCCTTGAGGTTTGGGTGATGCAGGTGACTGTGGTCCTGGGATATTAGGTCTGGAACCTGAGGTAGTTGGATTGGTGTTTCTACTGATAGGTTCAAGAGCACCATGAACCAGTGCTGGCGTGGCCAGGCTGGGGCTATCAGGATGATTCCTGCTCTGTCCCATCTAATCCTCAGCAAGACCTTGTGTATGAGAGGAATGGCTGAGAATGCATAGAACAGATGCCCCGTCCAGGGCAAGAGGAAGACATCTGTCAGAGATCCTGGACTGTGGCCCAGGAAACAGCGGAATTGGAGACACTTCCTGTTGCACCTCGTTGCAAATAGATCTATTTGGGGAATTCCCCACTTCTGAAAGATGACTTGTAGGATCTCTAGGCAGATGGACCACTCGTGGTGGTTGGAGAAAACCCTGCTGAGGTGATCAGCAAGTTGGTTCTGAGAATCTGGCAGATAGATTTCCTTGAGGTGAATCGAGTGGGCTATGCAAAATTCCCATAAGCGAAGTGCCTTCTGGCACAGGTGAGAAGAGCGTGCTCCACCCTGTCTGTTGATAGAGAACGTGGCTGTTGTGTTGCCTGTAAGGACTGACGTGCACCTGCCTGCTACATGGGTTTGGAATGCCTGGCAGGCCAGGCGAACTGCCCTGAGCTCTCTGACACTGATGTGCAATAAGAGCTCTTCTGGAGACCAGAGGACCTGAGTCCTGAGGAAGCCCAAGCAGGTCACCATCCCATTGCCAAAGCATCTGATGAGAGAGACTGACAGTTGGGGTCTTGAGAAAAGGACTCCTGCGCACACCGTTAGCAAGTCTAGCCACCGATTGTGGGAAGTAATCACCAATGGGGGAACCGTAGTGACTGAGTTTACATGATGTAGGCTTGGTGAGTATACTGACGCCAGCCACGCTTAGAGAGGTATGAGCCGAAGTCTTATGTGATGAACCACATAGCTGCAAGATGCCATGTGGCCCAGGAGCTGTAAGCAATTTCTTGCCATGATGACAGGGTGATTCTTGAGGCTTTCTATAAGTTTTCTATGCTTGGAAGCATGCTTCTGGGAGAGAAGCTCTGGCCTGTACCAAGTCCAGAACTGCCCTGATGAATTCTATCCTCTGGACCAGGAAGAAGGTGGATGTCTGTGCATCTATGAGCAGACCTAAGTTCTGGAAGGTCAACTGTATTAGTCTCACATCTGTCTTTACCTGGAGTCTGGATCGACTTTTCATCAGCCAATCGTCGAGGTATGAATAAACCTGAACTCTTTATCTCCTCAAGAAGGCTACAACAACTGACATGCACTTCATGAATACCTGAGGGACCGCCAAGAGACAGAATGGGAGCACCATAAATTGGTAGTGCACATGGTTCATGACAAATTTGAGGAACTTTCTGTGTCCCTGAAAGGTGGCAATGTGGAAATATGTGTCCTTTAAGTCAAGGGCAGCGTACCAGTCCCCTGGATCCAAGGAGGGAATGATGGAGGCCAAGGAGACCATGTGGAATTTCAGCTTCTTCGTGAATTTGTTAAGATTTTGCAGGTCCAGAATTGGTCAGAGACTGCCATTGGCTTTTGGGATTAGGAAGTATTGGGAATAGAATTCTCAACCCCTTAGCTCTGGGGGAACCTCCTCCACTGATCCCCCCACTCTTAAGAGTGATTGCACATCTTGGGTTAGAGTTGTTTCTGAGAAGGGTCCCTGAAGATGAACGGGGAGGGAAGGTGGCAAGGAGGGGAACAAAAAAATTGAAGGGTGTATCCCACTGTGACCATGCATAGCACCCGATCAAAGTGGGATAACCAGTCCACAAAATCTGGGGAATTTGGATCCATAAACTATCCTGGTACATCGTCCCTGAGCATCCCATCAAAAAGTCTGCTTTGACCCTGCCAAGTGTCTGGGGGTGCAGCTACAGATGAAGACAGTGGGGGAGGTTTCTGCCTGTAGCCCCTGCTCTTCCTGTTGCTATAGTCCTGTCAAGCCGGCGGAAGGAAGAAGCGAGCCGTTTGCTGTGGCCCTTCTCTCTTCTAAAAACTGAAGTTTGGAGTCTGTCCGCTCTGAAAAGATTGACGTATTTTCAAATGGCAGGTCCTGCAAAGTGTTGGACCTTGTGCGGCAAGCCCGAGGACGGCCCGATGTGGGTTGCACCCTGGCAGCATCTCTCTGTCCCACTGACCTCAGTGTAGGTGATCAGCCTCTGTCGGTCTTCCTTTGCTTCTTCCTAGGCACTAGTGACTGTGAATGGTGCTTGGGCTCTCTCGCATTCGCATCCTTATTTGGCACCAGGGATGACTGATGGTGCCGAGGTTCCTTAGGCATGGTCGGAGCATCTCACCTTGGTGCTGGAGCTGAGGAATGGCGCCGGACATCCCAAAGTGAAGCCAGGGTGCTTCTTACTGAGGCCAACATACTCGGTGCCGAGTCCAAGTGGCCCTGCTCCAATAGAGGTCAGAGTGCTGCCTCCATGAGGATAGAGCGGAGTCTAGCGTCTCTGTCCTTTTTGGTGCGGGCTTAAAATCCCTACACAGCTGAGCTTCTCCCAGACACTTGAAGCAGCTGGAATGGGGGTCACTCACAGGCATAGGCTTGTGACAAGATTCACAAGGCTTGAAACCTGGAGACTGAGGCATGCCCTGGTTCTGGGGGGTGGGTCGGTTAATCCCACTTAGCAGGGTTCCTAACTAACTAACATAATAACTGAAACTTAATTAATAAATACAATTAACTAGATACAATCAGAGTAGGGAAAAGTTCACTCAAGAAATACTTGCAACAGCAAGAACGAGCCGTAGTTCCAGCAACCATCGCGGGCCATAAGAAGGAACTGGTGGGTTGGCAGAGTCCTTTATACCGAATCTATGAGCGCGCAACTCCAGGGAGCAGCAGAGCCGACCTGACAGATACCACGGAGGTAAAATCTTTCTAGTGGTGATGCTCATGGCAAGCACACACCTACATTGGAATGGACATGAGCAAGAACTACATTATTATGGATAGAGCGTATAAAAGTGTACACAGCACTGTACAACCATCAAGCATTCATGCTCCCTGCGTCAAAGGACTCAATATATGGGCACAAGCTGCAAACAGTACAGAATAAAGTGCACAAATACGTAATGGCAGGTCGGCCCTCTAATAGGAGCTGGATTCTAGTTTTTGAAGAGTGAGTGGCAGTTTGGCCTCTCTCAATGTTAATTGAGGATTCTCTCACATACCTTGGGGGTGGGGTGGGGGCATACATAAATGATGATATGAAGCAGATAAAAGGTCCATTTAAGAATGACACTTGAGTGGACAAAGGGGAGCAGCAGGAAATAAAGCTGAAATCCAAAGTTAGAGAGACCTGGAAGAAAAGCTTAAGCGTTGTTCAGAAGAGGGGGCATCTGTGTAAATACTGAAGAGGTAGAAGTAAAGCTATGGTCAGACTAAGGCTACATTTATCACTGTTGTCTAACTGTAGATAAATTCAAAATTGCCACCAACAGTACAAGTCACAATACAGACATGCTTTCATGGGGCCATGTTTATACAGCAGGAGTATTATGCTGACTTTACAAGGTATTCAACACTTTCCAGACCTCATACACATAATGGACAAAAGGGCAATAAGAAGATAAACAATTAGGTCCAATGAAACTAACATAAAGGGACTGCTGAAACTGTGTTTTCCGGCTATTGTTACTAGGTATTTTCAGAGAGGACATTACACTTTTTTTTTCTGTCAATATTTAATGTTCATGGACAGCACTATCTTGATAACCAATTAAGTACACTCTCTCCATGAGGGCAGCCCAAGCAGTGACCGCCTACTGAGACAGGTAATGGGTTGGGCTGAAGTAGTAGTTTTCTAATTTTACACTAAATTCTAAAACACCATGAAGCAGATCATATGTTCATTCCATGTGCATATACAATAAACACACACCTTGATTACTCTGAAACTGAGATACCGCTTGTTCAGCATGATGATTTTATATTCATTGGTACCATCATCCATCACGTGGCGGAGGGCAAGCAGGGAGGGAGAGTTGGAAAGGACAGCACTCCTCCAGGCAGGGTCCCCTTCATGTGCTATAACCAGGTTTTGCTCATGGGACACAATGGCTTCGTAGAGGACAGTAGGGTCATCGTATTCATCTGGGGAAGTGAAGTGATCCTGAATGAAAGCATTATTTGAGAACAGCTTAGTGTCATAGATGCTAATTGTGTAAAAAGTAGAGATTTCAGACCTCAGAAATGATAGATAATGCATTGCACAAAATTACATTAATCAAAAACAGATTCCCACCATTGTTCAGATGAGTTCAATATCCACCACATCAAATGTTTCTGTAAGTTTGGGGGTTGGGAGGATTTATCTAATATTGGGAACGGTTAGTTATTATAATTTTGATACTGATTTTATTGTGTATCTAGTCACATTGCCTATGGAGAGGCTCAGAAGCCTTGAAGTTTAAAACCAAAGAAGTAAAGTACTGAGTATTCAGTGAGAGGCTTCTTTTCAACAGTTGGTCTCATTTACTGTCAAAAAACTACATGAATGTGTGTTCAACACTGTCCCGCATAGTCACACACTAAAAAGAAATCGGGTTTCAGACAAAATATCCTGTATACTTCATCATGCATTCACAACATCATACTATTGCTAGCCACATATTTATACCACATATTTACAGGATCCATTCAGTATTAAGTTACGGCTCTTTCTGATACGAAAGTACAGATTTAAATTCCAAAGGGCGAAGACCATGTTTGGATTTTTCTTTTTCTTTGTTTGCTTGTTTTAGTGCCTAGCACAATGAGGGCCCAATCCTGAGTGGAGATACCTCAGGGCACTACCAAAATGCAAATGAAAAGTCACCAGTTATCTGTACTATGTATTAGTTCAAAGGGTTATGTTTAAAAATATTTGTATTTTTATGTACATTTTCCATTTCTCACTTTTATTGCACCATATTCAGGTGCACACTTTGTAGTGGCCTAAGTAATATCTTGAGAACGTTTCAGGATTTGTAAGTTGTAATCCTGCCACTTTCACCATGACTTTATACTACTCTACTGAAGTTGTTTTCTGCATTTACTCCGACCATTTGTCATTTTATATACACTGCTAAATTAAGAGAATTCCATGATCTAATGGAACAAGCTAACTCAATTATTGCTATGTCATTGCATGATAATTTTTGGTGACTTTCAGACCTTGCAGTGAGGCAAGCACCGTAGATCTATTTAATTAGAGCAAGCTTTTTTATTTAATTCGCTCACAGCTTGGATCTTTTTCATTTTCATATTTCAACAGAACAGATTTTTGGATTGCCAATCCCTTTTCTCTACAAGTTGCATCTCAGTTGATGTTTGCTACATTTGCTGAACTTTGCCAATATATTACAGTGGACACAGGGAAGCTTGCTGCTTCCCTGTGCTCCCATTGCCCTGGAGTGGCGGATACCAAATTTAAGCTGTTTTGAAATGCAAACTTTTTATATTCAAGTAACAGTGAAAGCTCTGTTTCAGGACAGAGTGATAATTAGACCTACAAATAATTTCTGGAAACACTTGCACCAGCATTTTTTATTAAAGGCCCTGTAATGGTACATTAAAATAAATTCTGGCTCACATGAGAGAGAGAATTCCTTCAGGCGAACCCTGTTTCAAAGGCATAATTCCCCAAGAAGGTAAAAGCAGCCAAGCTCACACACGAACAGTAAGAGGACATGGAAGGTGTTCACTGTGATTCTGAGATTTGCAGCTGATGCCTTGGTGATGGGGGTAGAGGAGTAACATTAAGGGTTGGTTGTTGTTTTCACACTTCTGCAGTTTTGAATATAAGATTATTTTTTAGCCAGAGGCTCAGTCAAAAAAGAAAGGCAGGCCCAGGAATTGCAAGGACCGACAGGACCTTCCCCATTCAACCAATTGCGTATGCAGGGGCGGGTAGGCTTCTCACCAGGGAGTTATCCATGGATCTTGCTAGGACCTTTTTGTTTCATACTGGCCCCTGACTAGTCAGTGTCTGGTGAATTTTTCAAGCCTTGTATCAGACTCATAGATTTTAAGGCCAGAAGAGATTATCGTGATCATATAATCGGACCTCCTGCACATCACAGGCCACAGAACCTCACCCATCCATAGACCCATAACCTCTGGCTGAGTTAGTGGAGTCCTCACATCATGATTTAAAGACTTCAAGTTACAGAGAATCCACTCTGTAGTTTAGTTTAAACCAGCAAGTGACCAGTACCCCATGCTGCAGAGGAAGACAAAAAAACCCCAGGGTCTCTCCCAATCTGACCCGGGGGAAAATTCCTTCCCAACCCCAAATATGGCCATCAGTTGAACCCTGAGCATATTGACAAGACCCACATGCCAGGCACCTGGCAAAGAATTCTCTGTAGTAACTCAGAACCCTCCCAATCTAATGTCCCATCTCTGGCCGCTGGGGATTTTAGCTACTAGCAGTTGCAGATGGGCCATATGCCATTGTAGGCAGTCTCATCATACCATTTCCTCATGAAGCTCAGTCTTGAAGTCAGTTGGGTTTTTTTGCCCCCATTGCTCCTCTTAGAAGGCTGACCTTTACCAGAGATGAGCTGCAGAGAATACAGTGTATGGAGGTGATGTGACCCCAGAGTCTATGCTTAGTTCCCTATGTATGAGTTATCCACCCCCACCACAAGCCCTTTTTTCTATCCCTTGAGTCCCTTATCTCTTTTTTCCTCTCTCCTTACTTTCCGCTTCTTCACCAAAATGGCTAAATTAGATGTCCCAGTGGAACATCCCAACTCAAGAAATATCTGACGTGAGGCACTTAACTGCGAGGATTTCATGTCCTTAGAGCTATTCAAAATACAGAGAGGGGAAGGAAGAATGATTGAATGAATTCCCAAAAAGGGAACAGGACCAGTCAGGCAAGCCAATGAGTTTGACCAGGCAGAGATTATATTATATTGTATTAACTGAACATGGTTTCACCTCAATTGGATTAGCCAGAATGAAAGGGGCCCTATAAACATTTAAAACACTGTCTTTAAAAACATGTTATAGACTTAGCTAGCTCTAGTCAACACACTGTTACCTTAAACAGGATTTAAAGCTTGCTATGCTGGCCAGGCAAGCTGTGTGGAAAACTGCTCCATATATCAAAATTTAATCAATCAGCATGGACAGAGCCAAAAAAACATACATCCCCCCCCCATTAACCTTATTACCTGATGTAGTTTGAGTGACATGCGTATTCCAGGAACCACCACTTTCCTCAGCAATTCCATGTCAGCAAAGATCCATTCATCTCGGATTGAAGAGATACGGAAGTCGCCCTTAAACAGGGCATGCAGCCCATACAGGAAAGATTCCAAATTACTGTTTGGGATGGAAAGTAACCCCAAATCATTAACACATTTAAAAACCTCCATATGCAGCATCCCTTCATTACATCAGTAGAAATACTGATTTACATAATGTAACACTGAACTGTAGAGACAGATATAGTTGTCATATTCCTCTGTACACATATGAACATAAGAATGGCCACACTGGGTCAGACCTATGGTCCATCTGGCCCAGCATGTGGTCTTCTGACAGCGGCCAGTGCCAGATACTTCAGAGGGAATGAACGGAACAGGGCAATTATTGAGTGAGCCATTCTGCGTCATCCAGTCTCAGCATCTTGCAGTCAAAGGCTTAGGAACACCCAGAGCACGGGGTTGCATCCCTGATCATCTTGGCTAATAGTCATTGATGGACCTATCCTCCATGAACTTATCTAGTTCTTTTTTTTAACCCAGTTATAGTTTTGGCCTTCACAGTATTCCCAGCAATGAGTTCCATAGGTTTACTTCTTCATGCAGTGCATAGTCACTTCCTTATGTGCTAAACCTGCTGCCTATTAATTTCATTGGACAACCCCTGGCTCTTGTATTATGTGAAGGGGTAAATAACACTTCCTTATTCACTTCTCTACTCCAGTCATAATTTTATAGACCTCGATCACATCTCCCATTAGTCATCTCTTTTCCAAGCTGAACAGTGCCAATCTTTTTAATCTCTTTTGATAAGGAAGCTGTTCCATACCCCATATCACTTCTTATACCCTTCACTGCACTTTTTCAATTTCAAATATATCACATCAGTCTGTGGTGGAAGAGGGCAATAGCAGGCCTGTTTAAAAAAATAAAACCTAAGTTACAGCAACATGGGTATAATTAAAAATATGATAATTATATTAATGTTTGTAGTGGGCATGCTATAGTTACAGGAATTAGTATATATTTGACGAAGAATGCTGAGGGTCAGATTAAGTTACAAGAATGCATCATTTTGATACTTGTTTTAAGCAGCTGGAACTTTCCAGGGGAGTGCAACACTACAGTGTATGTATCCATCAGGAGATTGCCTCAGTTGTGCCATTCTTGGTGCAAAGATTAAGAGCTTTACTACCTTCTTTTGCTTCATCTCATCATCTCCATTTAACTCACCACGAGGATTTGTCACCATTTACAGTTCCTAATTATAAATAACGTATTTTTAAAAACTAAATTGCTATTATTATAAGTGCTCTTTTGCTATTTTCAAGTGACTCAGGCATTTAGACTCCTACGTTTTTCCAAGCTAATTTAAAAAACCCTGTGAAAGTTATGGACCTTGTGATCTGCCCCAATGAAGTTACTGTATTTCAGCAAGATCATATATAGTGACAATCCTTCAGAGGGCCAACTAGGCAATCTCGCTGTAATATGGTGAACTCAGAGGAGGAGTTAGTCAACAGTTGTCCTTTCACATGTGATAAAGAGTAAGTATGCTGTGCTTGGTGTCCAGGAGGAAGACAACGTTTTAGTATGTGTTTTTGAGTCACCAATTTCCGGTTTGCCAACACACACAACTAAATTTTACACTAATCTGTAATACAACATCTACCAACCACAGGTGACATGAACTGGGCAGGCCAATGAACCTGTAACACTGGTCTAACCTGCATCTTGATGAAGATTATTCCGTGTGCCATGTGTTACAACACTCCTCCCTGCACCCCTTTTTATACATAGGCCTCATGCTGGGAGCAAGGAATGAAGTTCAATTTCAAAACTTGATTAATCCTGCTCATTTTTCAGCAGGTATCATGGACAAGGAAGGTGTGAAGGCCCTCCACTCCACTACTCTCAATTTCAATTAGTTAAGGAAGTGAGATGTTCAGTTTCAAGTCTTCTACATACTTAATTTGCTGAGCCTTGGCACATCTTCATTGGATTACCCACAATATTTATGAAGGAGGGTGGCCTAGAGTATCTGTTCCTTTTGGGGGTCCAAGAAGAACATTGCTTTTGTATAAAGAGTTAGCCATTACCCCAAACCTAGATGCTCGCAGGCTCCCCTCCTCCAAAATCCCTAAAAACAAGAGCGTAGTATTACCTAGACATATGATGGGAAGCAGTCCCCAAAGCTCTCCGCCCCAGAACACAGAGTCCGTAACAAAGAGTCACCAAGGAGGAGTCTTTATCTGCATCCAGCGGCTGGTAGTAATAAATACATTAAAAAATAAAGAGTCATGTGGAGAAGGTAGGGAGAGATTCATACTATAGCAAAATGTATTCTGATAGGAGGAGTGACAAAAAGGAAAATACAGAAAGCTACCAGAAATCAACTTCAAGTGGCACTTATGCTAAATAAAAATGGGTTGGCATTCAGAAGCACCCAAATTCAAATTAGGGGTTCTTTTCAAACAGTGCTTTATAAACGCTGCCTTACTAATGAGATTTGTACAAAAAAGCACTACATTGCCATTTGAACTAGTTGCAAGCTGAATATAGTACGTACTATCCTGCATGCATACTCTGTTCTTGAATTCTAGGTTTGAGTCATAAAAAGACTAGTCTTGATTAATAGAGATGTAACAGGCATTTTAATGGACCAGGCCATACACCTCTCACTTAAAAGTTATAAACAATATATATTTGTGAGTTTACTTCAGAAGTATGTAGACGGCTTCCACTCATCAGAACACCCAGAGCAAAAAGTCATTTGTGTGGTGCTTTGTAAAGCAGTACTACTGATGTAACACTTCATTATAAAGATAATTCTCTAGGCAGTAAAATGTCATGTATCCAAGTTATTAAATCTGCTTTCCACTACCCCCACAAAATAATTGCCAAGTAACGGTCATGTAATAGAGGCAGACAGTTTTCTTTGATGGCCATTCTCCACGTCTAAAAAAGGTTTCAAATATACTTTCTAGAAGAGGCCTCCTTTTAGTCACTTACCTCCAATGAGCTCCCCACTCTAAAGACCCAGGTATGTCATTAAATCTAAAGGATCGGGAGACCCTTTTACCCATGCCCTGAAGACCATGTCTATTCATGGTCAAACCACACATTTGAGAATTTAAATAAGCAGATACCAGTGTAATTCTCTAGACACACTTTTGTATAAACTTCCTTAAAAGGGTGCAGGAGGTTTGGAGAGAGGACAAAGAGGCTAGGAGATGAAGTGCTCATCCAGATGAAGTGGTCCAGAGAAGAGCTTCAAATTTGACCATGAGGTACCTAGCAATGCTTTTGGCAGTCGATTTTAGATACTATAGAGATTTGCAGTTAGGATTGTTTTGATAAACACGAGTGACACCATGGCTATTCTAAGACCACTCTTCTCTGCCTAAGCAGAGGCCCAATCAAGCCAAATTATGTTGGTCGCTCCTCCTTTCCCTAGTGCACTTCCAACTACATAATATACTACTTGCAATCTAAGACTAATTTGAATTTTGGTCTCAAGAGATCAAGGTCAAAGCATTAACTCATCAACCCAAACCCAATGTAACACTTTCCTGCAAATCAATTTGAAATCTAAATTTCAATAGACAGTTAAATCCAACCCTACCAAAGAAAATATATTTAAGAGACTTTCCTAGAAAAGTTTAATAGTTCTGGTCACTCAGTCATGCCTACCTTTTCTCTTCGGGAGCAGCAGTACTCTATCCAGTTGAGGTAAGTCATACAGAAACTTTCTCTGGAGACCCCTGCTAGATGATGGTCATAATCCTCATCAATATTTGGATTAAATGTAGGGTCCACATCAACATAGTTGCAGTCTGCACATGGCTGTAATCCTTCCTGCATTGTCTCATTAGCTAACCATTCCTCCAGCTTGGGGGATGTTGTGACATAATAGATAATGCCCTGAAATGGTACAAGTTGAAAATATTACAACCTATACTACATATCAAGGAAATAGTTTAAATCTAATTTGTTGTATTAAATTGTGTATTTCTCTGTTACACACGAGGATGGAAATAGCATACCATGCTGTTTGAAAGTGCACCAGGTTTGATTAGTGGGGGATTTGTTACAGGCTTGTTTGGTATGTTTTTTAAAAAGGACTGAATTTAATGTTTTTAGTTAAGAAAAAACAAACTTCAAGCCCTTGTGGCTGCAAAAAGAGCCTTCTAAATGTGAAGTCTGACAAGTATTTCAAGGCCAGATTTATTTACCCCTCAGAAGTATGAAAGATTATGATCGTATTTGAGACAGTGTGCGTATCGATCTTTTGAAGAGATCAAGGCCTGTTGGCTCAGGGTGACCATTGAAGATCTGGCAACTGGCATCTTTTTGCAAAAGTAGACATTTTCCAGGGAGTCTCAGGCCAATATTTTCCCTCTAACACTGTTATGCATTGATGTCATGACAGTGGCCTTCTGCCCCCATTCCCCCATCCCAGAGGTGGCTGCATTTCAAAGATGGTGCCTGTACATACTTAATAGAGAGTTTTGGGATTCTTGGGAATGAAGAGATCACAAGTATAATTTCTTATCATTAACACAAAATAGTATTTATGTGCAACCTTTGCAAGCAATGAGAGTATGGCAGGCTTCATACATTCCCCCAGGTTCAACAAGGCCCATCTTAGTTTTGGATTTGCAATAATTAATTACAGAAATATTTTTAACAAAGTTTTCCTGCAAATAACCTTAACAAAGGTGCACTTACTCAGATCTAAAACAAAAAAAATGATTGTTCAAAGGTATCAATCGAACAGCAAGGAGGAGTTTGAGGATTTGGATATTTTGTAGTAGTGATGGGGGAGGGGGATGGAATTTTTTTCCTTCTTCAGTTCTGTCCTGGCCAGATTCATATTTGGGTAATTACTTTCTGTCCCCTAAGCTTCCACTGATGTTTCAGTTGGATACAGTAGTCACTCTCTGTCCTAGATTATTGTGTTACATGGCTGTCCAAATGCGAAAATAGCTGTTACACTTTACCACAAGGCATGTTTACACTTGATTCTCAGCTCGTGATTCTCAGCTCAAGGAGACATGCTCACACTAGCTCCTTGCACTACAAATAGGGCCCTACCAAATTCACGGTCCATTTTGGTCAATTTCACAGTCATAGGATTTTAAAAATCATAAATTTCATGATTTCAGTTATTTAAATCTAAAATATTAGTGTTGTAATTGTAGGGGTCCTGACCCAAAGAGGAGTTGGGGGGGAAGGAGGGGGAGAAGGGTGTTTCACAAAGTTATTGTGAAAATTTAGTTGGTGTTGGTCCTGCTTTGAGCAGGGGGTTGGACTAGATGACCTCCTGAGGTCTCTTCCAACCCTAATCTTACATGATTCTATCATCGTAGGGGGGCTTGCAGTACTGCTACTCTTATTTCTGTGCTTCTGCTGGCGGCAGCGCTGCCTTCAGAACTGGGCAGTTGGAGAGTGGCGGCTGCTGGCCAGGAGCCCAGCTCTGAAGGCAGAGACGTCGCCAGCAGCAGTAGCACAGAAGTAAGGATGGCATGGTATGGTATTGCCACCCTTACTTCTGCGCGGCTGTCTGCAGAGCTGGGCCCTCAGGCAGCAGCTGCTACTCTCTGGCTGCCCAGCTCTGAAGGCAGCAGCACAGAAGTAAGAGTGGCATAGTATGGAATTGCTACCTTTACTTCTGCACTGCTGTTGGCAGGGCGCTGCCTTCAGAGCTGGGTGCCCAGCCAACAGCTGCCACTCTCCAGCTGCCCAGCTCTGAAGGCAGCGCAGAAGTAAGGGTGGTAATACTGGGACCCCCCTAAAATAACCTTGTAACCCCCCAGCAACTCCCTTTTGGGTCAGGACCCCCAGTTTGAGAAATGCTGGTCTCCCCTGTAAAATCTGTATAGTATAGGGTAAAAGCACACAAGACCAGATTTCACGGGGAAAACTGGATTTCATGATCCATGACACATTTTTCATGGCCGTGAATTTGGTAGGGCCCTAGCTATAAATCACACCCCCAGCTCAACGTGTAGACATACCCTCAAACAAGCTGTTCTCCTATGGTGAATGAGAGATTCGTGTATTCATAACTTATATTGCATTGTGTAATCCTCCTGATGAAAGGCACTGTATACACACGAAGTGTTCATGCTTCCAATTCCTCAAAATAACATTATGTTGAAGGACAGCTGAATTCCCCCACAGCCGCATTTGCTAAGTGCAGAGCCATACCTTTACATAATAAGTGGTGAGAATTTTCCGAAGATCGAAGACTTGAAGCATGGATGCGGCACTGTTGTCTGTGATGCTGTAGCCTTCCAGAACATACTTTGTCACAAGCACTTCCCATGCCAGCCAGCGTTGACCAAAGGTAGCATTGAACGAAAGCATATGTGGGATGTGGCCAGGTTCACAGCAACAAAACCCTTCATCTTCCTCTACCCCCTCGGTGATGGCCTCTACTTCTCGTTGCTGACAGTAAGTGCCTTAGGGGATTTTAAGGAAAGTAAGAATTTAGAGGACTAATTTGAAGATAATTGATATTTTAAAAAGTTTGAGACACCAGAATACATCACAAATTATATTTCTGTGAACAGCAGGTAAATTAAACTACTGTCTCTAGCTTAACTAATGAAAAAAATTAAAATTGCTTAGTTTTAATTAACCACTCTATATTCAAACATGCAACTCAGGTATAGGAAAAGAGAGTAACTGTCCATCATTGTATGTTTAACACATTAAAAAGTAATGAGAAACCTACATTAGCTCTGTTATAGAGCTCTGGTTTTCTCTCACTTACATAACAGTGGCCACAGAGACCCTGAAGCCCAAGTTCAAAGCCACTGGTTTAGAGAACCAAACTGTAACTTCTCAAAAAAGAGTCAACTTTGTAAGCAACCAAATGGGTAATCAAAGCACAGAACTCTTACCTCTGAATTCAAGCCCCCTCAGCTGGAAGGTGACAAGACCATTTCCTATCTCTATAAGGTGTACTAGTGCATTGAGGTAGTCAGAAGCTAGGATGAAGCAGTCCCCAGTACTGTAGTTCCCCCACCGCCCCAGCAACAGGTCTCCACACAGGCTGTGCTGAAGGGAACGGGTTAAATGCTCATAGAAGATTGAATTCAGGTTGTTATCATCTGAACCTGCAGGAAAACCCAAGCTTCTATCAATTAAAACTTGTACTTTGCTATCAAGAAAATGTAGCAGTGAATGTAATGTTATTTCAAAGATCTCAATCTCTTTATAGAGGCAACTATTCAACTAACTGGAATTTATTCTGAACGCATTGATAGGTTTAAAAACAAACAAACCTGATTAACCTAACCATTAATTTCTGTGATCTCCAAGCCACTCCTTCAGTTTCACTCATACTACTCCCATGTACCTAACTCCATGCAGTGCTATGCTTAAGCACATAGGCAAAAAGGAATCAAGCAACAATCAGTAGTACTACTTTAGGATCCCACTGCCCTGGCACCTAGATACCCTTTAAGCAGTGCTCAGTTCCCAAATTGCCCTTGTTCATAGCACTCAAACGCTATAGAAAACAAAACAGCTGTGCGGATACTGCAACAGGAAGGGGAGAAGTAGGTAGGCATGGAAAGAAGAAAAACAAGGCAGAGTATACGGTAGTTTGGCAGAAGAGTTGGAGAAAAGGGGATGTGAGGGCAGACAATGGAATGGCAGAAAGGAAAAAAAGATATCAGAAAATACAACTGTGACGAGTAAGGAAGAGATGACCACTGATCTAAAAAAAATTGCTTCCACTTTTGTAGTTGTGTGGTTTAGCAAGAAGGGTAATGGGGAGCTTGATCAGTTCATTTCCAAAAGAAAGAGGTCCTCATTCCATCATTGGATCAATCGGTTTGTTTTGCGCACACAATAAAATGTAAACATTATGCCTCTTCCTAGGTGATTGAAACTATTCCCTAATTGGTTCAGACATAACAATAAAAAAAACCCCTAATGGTTAGGGTATAGACATTGTCCATACTTAAAGCTATTCACAGTTAAGCTAGTAGGAACTTTAGTTTCAAAGTACATTAAGTTTACTTCTGTAATAATTCCCTTCCCCAGCTAAAGCAACCCCCCCTGAAGATTAACTACATTTATAAAAGAGGTAGGTATTTCCCCCCCACATAAATTAGATTACAGAGGGTGCTATGTATATAAATACACACAAGTCAAGCACTTTAAAAGAAACCCAATTATAAGCTGGGCTACATGTACTGCAGTCATAGAACATTCAGTGTAGGAGGTGAACCTCAACTTGATATGCAAATACAATTTTTAATTCTGTCATAAGGAGTTCCCAGACACAAATGGAAGTTGATGTGAGTCTGTCATGTACAGATATTACTAACATGAAAGGGACACACATCTCCACTCTGTACCATTTCAACCAAAAAGGAGGACTATTACCTGGATTTCTATCAAGCTGGGAAGCGAGTCTTGTGTTTGAATGGTCCACACGCTTTGTGCTGAAGACAACAAAATTAAAACAAAACATATTTAAGAGTTTTACGTACTATAGGAGAATATAGGGAAAGGAGTTGTAAATGATGCTGTACCAAAGAAAAGGTTTTTTTATGATAGCTTTGAAAGCTTTGCCTGCAGTTCTTCTTTACCTCAACTTAGAATCCTGCCAGTACATAACAATGCCTTTTAGCTGTAGTAGTGTTAGAATCCAATACACCAAAGCCCTCTCCTTTGCCCACAAAAAGCCAATTAAGATAGATAGTTTCTAAGTTCTGCATGAAGTTTTAGCTATGTTACTTGCATTGAAGTCAATAGAAGTAGCAAAGCTAACACTTGGCTGTGCTCAAAGTTTACTTTTCAGGGTGGCACTAGTAGTTAAGAAGCACAAGTGCTGCTCCATTTTAGTTCTCCTCACCCCAAAAACTGCCATTATGTTCGCTGAAGGAGAAACCCAAATTTGTACACCAGGTTTTAAAAGCAAGGTCTTTAAATAATTCTACTCTGACAAGTGACTATAAATGACACCTAGGTTTCATTCATATTTATTGCCCGTGACTCGACATGATACTTGCTCATTTTACATGTGAAATGATTTTCCCCTTAAATGCTAGTACTATAAGCTCATCTTGCCATCTGAATGTCAAGCTGGGTTTTTTCTGGTTCAGGCATCATCAAAGGTAAAAGATTCTACAGGCCACATCTTACCTCAATGATACCTGCATAACCCCACTGTTTCAGTCTAAGGGAAGGTTTAATTGAAGGTACTATCTGACCTGAAGAATCTTTTATTGGTGGTGGTGCATAAGCCAAGAACTGATATTGACTAAGATATCAGGGTGAGTTTTTGGTTTTGGGAATTAGGAAAAAAATATTTTTCTTGTAAAATGAGCAAATGTGAAATGGAGTTACCAGTACAAATAAGGAACCCGCAAATGCCCTTTGTATACAGTCACTTTTCAGACTCAATTTTCCCTTAAAATTTCTGTCATTTTGGAGCTTAAATTATCCAGTTTATATGCTAGTGTAAATAAAAGCTACATGACAGGAATGAAATGTAAGCACTGTCAGTGTAGAAACAGCTGCTAGGATGTTTCAGAAAAATAATATACTTGTATGAAAGTATTAAAAGCCATGAACAAGTTCTCTCTCAAAAAAATCATAGCACCTAGAAATAAAAAGACCACATTCAGTCACAGCTTTCTCTACTAAACACAGCTGACATGGCTTCTTAATGGCTTAACTTCACCCACTTGTAGTCTCTTTCCCAGAATTTGACAGGTCTGACATATGAAGTGATGAATATTGCACTTCCCAGAAAGGGGTTCAGTGGGGTGGAGAAGAAAGCCGATATAGCCGCTTGGACAAACAACATTGCAGAATCTGTGGGGTGACAGGGTTAAGGAAGCCAAGACTACAACGTGGTTCTTTTGCAATATCACTTAATCATCAGATCTCAAAACACTTTACAAAACGAAAGGTAAGTATCATTATCCCCATTTTAGAGATGGGGAAAGTGAGGCACAGATGTTGTCATCAAGTAAGAACAAAGCAAGATCTTCCAAATCCCTCATGTATTATATAAAGGAAAAAATTATTCAGCAGTACTGGGCACCGTATTTTTTTCTCCCCCCCGCAAACAGGAAAAAAAGACTAGAATTGCGAACTTCTGTATTAAATGAGAATCAACACCTGACCCAGGACAGTAAACAAAGTGCAAGTCTCTATCTGCGGATAAGAGGCTTCAAACCATGAACTAAAGACTGGAGATAATTGTTAAATAAAGGTAAATCTTGGTCAGCCCTATAATTTTTCTAATGGAATAACCTGGTCTAGGTCTTTTCTATGATGGAACTGTTCTAGTTTTAGTAGTATATCCAGATAGCAAGTGCATATAGTTGTCATTCACATTCATTAGGCAGGATAAGGTATTCTCTAGATTTAATTAAGTATACTACAGTACGAGTCAAATTATAAATAGATGTAATTAACAACAAGTTGGAATCTTCAAAGGATACGTGGCACAGCAAAGGGCTGGGCAAAAGCATGGAAAGCAGAGCCCCACGTGATCTGCCAAGGAGCAATATAAGTATACACAAATCTCAGTTTATAAAAGAGTTCCCAAAGCTAGAGAGAAAAGGGGAGAAGATAAAATATATAAATCATTTTGTGACTTAACTAAACCAGGGGGTTTTACGTATGAACTTCTCAACAGAAAATACATATAATTTTGACTTGCAGTAAGATATACACTTACCATTATAATTTTGTATGAATTTGTTAAAAAACACTCCTTTATATAGATATTGAACAATCACAACAGTAAAACAGATAAACATTAAGCGAGTCTTAAAATACATTAGAACATAAGTTTGGGAAAAAAGTAAACAGTTTTAGTCATAAAAATAGAACCAAATATTGGGCTAAAACAGAGTTTCCCCCTTCAATCTCACTGGTTCACTATCAGTGCTTTGGAAAACTAGTAGTCTTGTAAGCACTTGAACAGGTCTGCCAAAGTGCTTCTAGCCATACTGTGTGTCAGGAAACTGAAAACTAAATCACATAATTCACATCTTCTCTGCTCCAAGGAAGTGCGGGGACTTTAAAAGAATAGATACCCTAACACATGCCAAGGCCAAAAAATTGATCCTGCGAACCAGAGATTCCCAGCTATCCAGTAGTATATGGTCATTTATTCATAGCACAGATGACCTGGGAGATTACATAACCACCAGAAGGCTTTTCATTCCTTGGATTCTCAAACACGGTGATCTGAAATACTCAGTTTCAGGAGTGTGTTATTTTGTGTAAAGTTACCTTGCTGAAGAGTATGGACATGAAGAAGAGGTCTAGCAGCATGGTCTCAGAAAAACTTTTGTAGTCAAATGTAAAGAAGAGCACTGTGAAAATAACAGTGACATACTGGCAGGTTGGGTTGCTGAAAGAGGAACGCAACAACTTCAAACCAGCTATGGTGATCATTAAAGCGCCAATCCTACAAAAGGAGTGCAGAAAGAAAAGTTACTCATCTGCAGTCTACTGCTTACCTGCTGTTAAGGAATTCCAATGTCTTCACATTCAATGCTTAATAGACATGTTAAGGTTTTTTTAGGTTACGACTATAGTCTTTCCTTCATTATTCCCAATTCAATCAACACTCTACAAAAACAATATTAGCACAATCTGTGGGATAGTCTTCCCAAGAGATATAGCAAAAAACCCATGCGTGACAAATGTGGAGCTGATATATAATAATGTCATGAATACTGAGAGGCAATAATTTTATTAACACTGTGACAGGGTCAAGGAAGGGACGCTTATTGTGCATTGGTTATTAGAATTTGCTGTATGATGATATTGGACTAACCTATATTAGGGGTGGTGGAATATTATACACCTATAATGCTCAAATTCAATGAGGATTGTGTATGAAGATGACACAATGGCTTCCCAGACAAGAGCTCCCCAGAAAACACTTGAAAGACCATAAGAAAAGCTGTTAGCTTCAAGGATCCAGTCTCTAGTGAGTTGCAAACCATTCTCTGCGAGAACTGGGAGTTACTAGATGAAAGGGCTACAAACATTTCAAGTGTTATTTGATTCCTACAAAACTAAGGAGGCAACTGGCTGACATGGAGAGATTCTGCAGAGGGAATTTAAAGAAGTTAAGTCTTCCCAGATCCACAGAATGGTAAAGCCTTAGGGAAAGACTAGATATGCATACAATCAGTTTTGTTGTTTTAAGATCAGTTTTCTCTAAAATGCTGTTGTTCTAAATAAATAGCATCTTGCTTTAAGGAGGCCATTTGGTCACTGTATTAACCTTTGATATTCTTCTCTGAGGGACCAGAGCCACAGTCACACCTGCTGGAATAATCACAGTGCCAAGGGAGTGCAGTCAAGGCCCAGTCTGACAGCAGAAGAATTGTATGGTTCCAAACGGCACCACATGACAGCTAAAGGACGGGTAAGAGGTGCACTTAGCCCAGTAACTGACACATCATGGCTTGGGTTTTTTTGAAGTTTTAAATGGACAAAATACCAGAGAGAGTATTGTAGGGAATAGTCCTGCATTGGCATGGATAGGCTGGATGGTAATAGAACTATTCTATCTCTGATGTCTGCAATTTGATACATTACTAGAAAATTCTGTGGCTTGAAATCTGCATAGTATTTGATATGATCTGAAGGGTTCTTTTTAACAAACCTGAAAACTCAATTTTATGATTTCTGCATTTAAAAAGTTTACATATTTCATTCAAAATAAGCCATATGGTGATCCAGACATATGAGTTTGCCAGGTACTGACATTAGAAACTAATTGTTCTACTTTGCTTTAATTGCAACTTGTATTAACTATACTTCCACTGCCGCTGTCAATTATGACGCCCTTTGCCATTTAGTTCCACCATATTGGGTATACTCAAGTTACTGACAATCTTTTCTACTTACTCTGTGTCCAGTTTCTTTGGACTAGCAATGTTCTTGGCACTGCTGCTGAGCTCATTGAGGACTATCAGGGGGTAGATAACATTCTTCTCCACAAAGAGCAGCCATACATGAAGTTTCTCAAACCACATTACATGGGCAGCATCTAAACAGCAAAAGAGATCACAGATTATACTAGGGGCCTAAATAGCACAGGAGATTTCTAATAGGATGCTGTTCATTTTGGGTCTAGATCAGTAGTTCTAAACCAGCCTAGGTCATCTGAGACCAAAGTTCTGGCCCTCTGGCAATTGTCAGGTGGCATACACAAAGATCTGGTAATCTTTAGTACTGAGGCAATTTGTGGATAACTGCTCTCTCCCTGCCAGTTTCAGCAGAGAACCCAAAACCGAATAAGGATTCTCAGACTGAACTACCTTCTCATCCATAAAAACAATCCTTCCAAGTCATGGCTGAATGTCATTGGAGAGAAGCTTGCACTACTGTATCTACATAAAGTTTCCTGTAGTTTTGGATTTTGGTAAATGTTACAGTTTCTGCATATCAGCAAACATGATTACTTTTTTGAAGCGATGGAAGCTGTTACCATAGCTACTGATCAAATTACATTTCATTTTGATTGTTATAAAATAATGTTTTTCCACTCATATTTGAATTAAAATGCTTCAGATACATGTCCCCACAGTCTAGAAGAATTTACCGTATATACATTACAAACATTGAATCTATCTCCCCATGTAAGTATTCTCACACTTCTTATCAAACTGTCTGTACTGGGCTATCTTGATTATCACTTCAAAAGTTTTTCTTCTCTTACTTAATTGGCCTCTCAGAGTTGGCTCTCTGTATGTGTATATATATCTCCTCAACATATGTTCCATTCTGTGCATCCGAAGAAGTGGGCTGTAGCCCACGAAAGCTTATGCTCAAATAAATTTGTTAGTCTCTAAGGTGCCACAAGCACTCCTGTTTTTTTACTGTATATACTCTATCATAAGCCAGTTCATTTATAAGCCAACCCCCCAAGATGGATAAGTAAAAATGGAAAATTTTTATGACACGTTCATAAGCCAACACTATAATTCAGGGGTCAGCAAACTTTGGCTCCCAGGCCATCAGGATAAGCCGCTGGTGGTCCGAGATGGTTTGTTTACCTTGAGCGTCCGCAGGCACGGAGATAAGCCTAAGTAAACAAAGTGTCCCAGCGCACCAGCTGCTTTCCCGGACGGGCCGGGACAGCAACTGGTGGGGAAAAATTTGGGGGAGAAGCTTGGCGTCAGGGGAGTAATCCCTGTGACCACACCCCACATGACCACAGCTCTAGCCCGGGACCCCCACACTCTCCCCATCCCATCCCTTCCCACCTTATCTGGGGAGGGCCAGGGGAGGATGTCTCTGGCCTTGCTGGAGCTTCTCTGGCAGGCTGGGCAGCACAGCCGTAGCCTGCTCCGGAGGGCCAGGCCAGGAGGCGCGGCCACAGCATGTTCCAGCGAGCTGGGCTAGAAGGCATGGCCGCAGCGTGCTCCAGCGGGCCGGGCAGAGCGGCTGCAGCCTGCTCTGGGGGGCGGGTCCGAGCGGCACGGCTGCAGCCTGCCAGCCCCAGAGCTGCAGCTGCTTTGGAGGCTGGGGGGAGAGCAGCGTGGCCAGAAGCAGAGAGACTCTGGCCCGATTCTTCCCTTCTGGCTGTGCTGCCTCTCCTTGCTCCCACTATTGGGGGGAGGGGCTGTGTCCCATCTCTCCTCTCTATACCTGTTCATAAGCCGATCCCCTTCTCTGGTGCTCCCCTTTTTTACTAAAATAATTCGACTTATGAACAAGTATATACAGTAATTATCCTGCAATTATAAACTGACAACCAACAGCCTCTTGATTTTTTTTATTAATTGCAAAAAAAATATATAATACGACATTGTTATTGTTGAGAGCAACACACACCCACACAACTAAGGGAAAAAAATCAAGGTTAAAGAACAGCACTCACACAGGCCTGGAATCAGCTCTGGATTATGTCAGTTTTCAATTATGCCTCTCCCTCAATGATATCAAATCTGCTAGGAAGAGGTTGCAGGGGTACAAGGTGGCCACAACCTCCCCATCACCAGGGAAGTCCACAGGGGTCCACAACAGTCAGAAAAGTGGGAGGCACTAGCCAGGAAATGAGTTAGGATAGCTGAGACATACTGATTCAAACATCTCCACTGCAGCCTTCGATAGCAAGGCTTCTTTGGAGCCCCCAGCAGATATTAAAGTTGCTCCCCTCCCAAAGCAGAACCCTCAGGGAGGGCAGACTACTGCCTGCCCTACCTCAGGTGAATTCTCTCTGCTGTGCAAGGGGCCAAGCCATGGTACATTATGATCTGTAAAATTTCATATTGATGTATATGGCTTTAATTTTGCATATACATATTAGTAGGAGACACAATATTACAAACATGTGAGCACTGCAGCCTAATTACAACAAAAGTTTCTCAATTTGTGCGCATCTTAATTCTCAGCCATAAAATTGTATTTAGGTAGGTATTTTTCATTTATATTTTTCATCCAAAAAATCTGATATCAAATCAGACTGACTGTATTTATTTGAACATGTAATCACTGAAATAATGGAATTTAAAACTGCAGCTAGGGGTATTGATGCCGAGACAGCAATTTACCTGACTAAACTGCAGGTTAATTAGAAGGCGCCCACAAATACATTCTGGTATGAGATGAAGTTTTAGATACAAATCTGACAGCCCCTCTAGAACTAGGTAAAGAAATAAGATGCTTACTTGCTATGAATTTATTTTCTCTTCTTTACTACTCAGCTATCTACTAATTTCTATTTACAGGGCTATTAGAATGTTATTGACCTGGCAGTTCTTATTTGCCATTAAATGACTCAAACAGGAGATAGTACAATTTGCTGCTTCTTGTATGCAATGCTAGATTTGGCTCAGGTTAACACTGAGATGTGTGAACTTATAAACTTCAATGAAAATTGTTTTTTACCTCTAAACCTGGCTGCCTGCAAACTCAAGATCTGAATGCAGAATTGGACAGTTCTCTGGTATATTTTCACTAGCCCAATTCAGCAATTGGAGCAAGAAGTAGGAATCAGAAAACTTAGATTCTATATAGATTTTTCCACTGGCTTGCCATGTAATCTTGTTGGAAATATTTAGGCACTGATCAGCATGGACAAATGCTTATGCATACATACTCCACACCATGTGAAGTAAGACTCCACTAAAGCCAACTGGGCTGCATGCAAGCTATAGGTGGTCCAACCACACAGATTGGCTTGCAAGGCTTGGGGCCTTAGTTTGTCTGTTTTCCCACTTATAAATGGGTGTAATAATTTTCACCTCTATAAAGGCTTTTAAGATCCTCACATGAAGGATACTACTGTATGTAAATATAAACTCATGTTAACACTTTTTGTAAGGATTTTCTTTGGTTAACTGGGGTATATTTGCTACCTTTTTCAAATGAAAGTTCCTTAGAAAACAAGTTTCATAAAGAGTTTCATTAATGAAAGAAATAAAATGGAGGTGCATTTGTTAGATTTATAGTGCAGATAAATGTATGTTTAAGCATGTATATATGTGTAGTTTCACACCTAGTACCCTTTAAAACAAATATAACGCACTGTACTATTCTATTTTCAGATGTTTGGCTGTTATTTCCAAACTAACTTTCTACAAACATGCCAAAAGCATTAGTTTTTAATAAGGACCAACATAGCAAACTGAAAGTATACAAGTGGGTCTGAAATATCTAAACAATTTAAACCCTCCAAAATATTGAAAAAAAGACAGTGAAAAAATATATGTTTGCCAAAATGTTGCAAGAGAAGTTTCAGCACAGAGAGTAAGTTTTCGACACTTGTAAGATCCTGAAAAGGATTCAGTGCAACTGCGGTCATCATAACAATAGCATTGCTAGTGTGACGCCATCATTATTACTTACTAAAGATACATAAAATGCCACAGGATCAAGCAAGGCATGCTGAGGTAGGAAAGAATTAACACTGTCACTCAGAGACCCTGGAACATTTAAGCAATGAGAAGTTGTAAAGCAAAAAGTTAAAGTAATGGTTAATATAAACTGCTCAACCATTAGTGCAAATTTTAAAAAAATTACTGATACTTACTTCGGACTTCAAATTGATAATATTCCTTGGTTTTCAGCAATGAGTGAGAGAAACAGTGCCAAGGAAGCTGCTTTCGGAGTTGAGGCAGCACATAATGGGTTAAAAATCCTACTGAGCCCACCAACGCATACAAAATGTAGCTAAGGACAGGCTAAAGAAAAAGCAAAGTTGAACAAAAGATAGGTTCTCAGTCTTATAAACAAAAAGCAAATCAGTTAACAACTTGACGTTTTCTATAACCTTTATCAATCAGCCTGTAAAAGCATGTCTGGACTTCAATTCCCCTTTTAACATGAGAAAGTATGTCAACTGTAAGAATGTAAAATAATGAGAGTTGCCTCAGAGGATAACACTTCTAAGATAGACAGATTATTCTACTTTTGATCTTCCCTGAAGACTGGGTTGCTACCTTTTCTTCTATAGTATTGCTGATCTTCTTTCATAGACAGTTGGTTCTGATTCTTCTGCGTTTCATCTCTAAAATGGCAAAATTATTATCCTTGAAGGAGGATTTCTGCTAGATAAAAAGGAGGTGCAAGTGCAGAAGAGATTGATTCTCATTCTGGATTATATTTTTAAGATTTCTCTTGAAGAAGAGTTGAATAGCACCCTCTTACTGAAGTATACCCTTTACATACAGCAATATAACATCACCTCCATGTATGTGAGCGCACTGCTGTTCAAGAATTTTACAGCAACACTCACTATACGTGAACACAGTATCTTTAGAGACATGAAAACAACTAGGAATCCCGTGGCACTTTAAAGACTAACAGATTTATTTGGGCATAAGCTTTCAAAAGCCCACAAAAGCTTATGCCCAAATAAATCTGTTAGTCTTTAAGGTGCCACCGGACTCCTCGTTGTTTTTGTGGATACAGACTAACACAGCTACCCCTCTGACATTTAGAGACATGGGTATGCATTTTATATTACAGCAGTGCCTACTGCTGAGCTAAATTGGGGTTATGAATCATATTTTCATGGGTAGCAAGACGGCTGTGAATTCACAAACTTAAAACTTTTCATATGGGTCTGTCTAGAAGCTCATTTTTAAATGTCTGATGTCTTTGGCCATTTAAAATAAACCTGAGTGTAATAAACTATTTAGTTAACAACAGCAGGTAACCATTTGGGGATGGAGGCCACATTCATCAGGGATAGGTGGAGTTTGGGCTTTCCCTGGAAGGGACATCTGCCTTAGTAAAAACTAGTGTGGACGTGGTCATCTCTGCTCAACTAGAAGGACCCTCCATCTGAAAATGTTTAGATTTAAAAATAAACCGACACAAATGCTTAACAAGAGCCTCTCCATTTTTGTAATGAGAGAGAGCAATAGAGTACTGGAATTCTTCCAGAATGTATGCCATTTCTTTTCTTCAGATTACTTGGAACAGTGATGCTGGACAAACAAATTAGACATTCTAATTCTTCCAGGTAGCCAAAATCCAGCGTATGTCATCTGTGTAGCAACTTAGCCCATCACATTTGCCCTGGCAATTTGATCCTTTGCTCAGTGTGAAAGTTACATTTGCTTTCAATACTGTAATCAAACTAGACAGTTTTAGAAGGTTTCTCCAGCTACTTAGGCAGCTAGCCTGGTGTGTAAATACCAAATTCCGCCACTGGATGTGCTTAGACAGACTCCTTCACCCACACAAATCCTGTTGCACAATGTGACCTTAAGTCACATCAAGTTGAAAATATTTAAGGGTATTCTGAAGCATATGCTAATGATAGCTAGGCTGATAGGTGGAATTTAGAAAGCAACTGTAAGGAAAGGTCTCCTGACCCCTTGATATCCTGCAAGGAACCATCCCTCTACCCCCCACTTCCATCCCATGGGAGATGGACACTGTCTAGGAGCGACAACTGGACACAACAGGTGAAACCCCTTCGAATCTTTTTGTCAGTTTACTTTCTCCCTCCTCCAGAATAAGCCTGTAAGTATTTCTGTGGGTGGGTAGAGCGAAAGAAAGGCACTTCATCGAAAAAATTGGAGCGCCTAGATAGAGAAGTAGGAGTGGGGAGGAGGGGAAGAAAAGGGAGAGGAATATTGGGGACACAAAAAAATTGAGATTTAAAAAGGTCTTCACGGCAGGTATTAGTCATACTGTATGTCTGAATAGCACCTAGTGTAAGTCATGCCCCAAGCCCAAATGGGGCCATTGGGTACAACCATAAAAGAGTATTAAATAGTAGCATTAGCAAAAAGGCATCTACAAGAAAAGAGGAAGTACAGGTATTTTATAAATTGTGAGGCATAATGCAATAACTTACCTGCAAAACTGTGAATACTGTACTGACATGAATTGCAAAATAGAGTACACCAATGACGAGGCACACTATCAGGTCAGATTGTAACCGTTCATTCTATGGAATAAAAAGAAAATAGCTTGAGAGAACAAATGTTGGTACTCTTCTTCCAGTCCCAGGGTCACCTCCACTTACCTCTTTGGTTAGTTAAAGGAATATGGGGGAGCTATTGTCAAAAGAGTTCAGCACTGACCTAAATTTGCTTCCACTGAAGTCAACTGAACTTTCCTCTCTAATTTTGACAGCAGCAGCTGTTAGATAAGTGCTTTCAAAAATCCCACCATTTTTATTTCCCAACTCCCAAGAGAAGACTGCAACAAGCACCAGTCCATGGAAGATAACCCTTACTTATCTGGTTTTGATCAAGAGCATTTGCCCAAATGATTTAATTTAAAACATCTAATCACTGCCATAGGTGAAAAGTTAATGGACAAAACACTTTCATTCTGGATATTCTTCTCTTCCAAAGTTTGAGCCTATTGCCTCAATGTATGTAACTGAATTAAGAGCTTTTAAGGCCAGAAAGAAACACTGATCTAGTCTGTCCTCCTGCATAACACAGGCCAAAGATTTTCACCCAGTAATTCCTGTATCTAGCCCATAACTTCTTGCTGTGCTAGAGCATCTCTTAGAAAGATGTGATCATGTTTTAAAGACTTCAAATCATCACATTCTTAGGTAAATTTTTCCAATTGTTCGTTACCCTTGCATTTAAAAAAAACAATAACGCCCGCACATACATTATTTCTTTTCTGAATTTGTCTAACTTCAATTTGCAACCATTGGATCTTGTTATGTCTTTGTCTGCTAGATTAAAGAGCCCCATACTATCTATCAGTAAATCTTCTCCCAATGCAGGTACTTTTAGAACACAATTAATCTTCTCTTGGATAAATTAAATAGACTAAGCTTCTTAGGTTTCTCACTTACCGCTTGTTTATGTGAAACAGGATAACAACTGGATACTGTTATTTTCACAAGCATTTACAGTGGATTTACTCTAGGTATCCAAAGAATGTGATGATAAAATTAAGTCAACAGAGCAAGTCTCCAGTGTTACTAGAAGCAACTCATTCTTCATTAAAAAAACGCACCAGCTTTCCTTAGTTTTTAGTTTCTGTTTGTGGGCTGGATTGCCCAAAGCTCTTGTTTATCCAAAAATACTGAGTTAACATCTTTTGGCAACTATCACTCTTTTCCACTTGATCCTTCATACACACACCAGGTATCACGGTGTTTATTTGGGTACATATTAAATTATGAACATGAATTACAGAACATCATCAATTATCCTTCACTGTTCTATCATTTGGGAGTTCTGACCTTCTTAATTGTATCTCTTTTTTGATAGCTTATATTGTCAAGGCACTGGTAATACTTTTTCTCAAGGCTGTGCATTTTTAATTGGGTGTATAGCTAAAGATACAGTGTCGTTTCAATACGGATAGTCAATGAAGCAACAGACTCAGCATTTTATATTCAAAGTGGAAATGCATTCTAAAGGTAGATGCAACTGGTCTTCTGAATGTAAAATTTCGACTCAAATACCCATTAGCATTAACTCAATCCTTAAGGAGTTATTTTTCACCGTGTTAAATATAAGTAACTAAAATTCTTGAAGTCAAATGAAAGTCAATGGGACTTGAATGCCTTACTCCCTGAAAGTCCCAGCCCTGGACTGCAGAGTATATAGTGCTAACAAATTCCAACTAACAACACTAAACTAGTACATACTCTATTGGCCAGGATTCAGTATATGTCTGGGTTGAGTTTTACAAAAAGCCAGCCTACTTACCACTGAATTTCTAAGTTTTTCAGGTAAAGGATCTTTGACTTCAGACAGAGGATCCTCTGGGTTTTTGTCTTCGGAATTAGGAAAAATTTTTGATTGTACTAAAGAGCTAAAAAGATGCAAAGCAAGAATTCACTGTGATAAATAAATTGATTTGGGTGGGTTTAGAAGAGGTAACAAAATAAGAGGCCTATTACAAATTAATAGAACATAAGCGGTCCCGATCTGCTATCTTTTGTGACTCAACTTACTTAAAGGAGTTTAGAAATCTCAACAGGTATATAAAGGTAAGCCTGTTTGCCTCATCTCTCTTTTACTGAAAGGAAAAGTTCAATAAAAATCTGTTCAGATTTTCCACCTCCACCCCCCAAGTAGTCTGTTGGTCCAAATGCAAAATAGGCAACCAAGGATTCTAGTATTAACTAAAGCTCTAACAGAGTAACCCACACTCCTTTAATTTGTAGGGCCATATTGACCAAGCAGCCAAACTCTTAGTATATGCTACTAGTAATAAAGCGTGATATGGCCACGTTTAGAAGCTTTTCAAAGTATTTTTATGGCCTCTTTACCAATAGTATCTAAGTGGCTCACAACCTTTCATGTATTTATTCTTGCAACACCTCTATGAAGTAGGTAAGTATAATTATCCCTATTGCATACATAGGGAATTCAGACAGCGATTAAGTGACTTGCCCAATGTCACAAAGGAAGTTGTGGCAGCATAGGGAACTGTACCTGGGTTTTGAGCATTCCCAGCCAGCATCCTAAGTACCAGACCATCACTCATCCCTCCCTTTTGTTTTCCACAGGGTTGGACCAACATCAGTTTCAGTGGTACTACTGGGTTTCTACTAATGATCACAATGTATCTCCTTTGAGAGTTGCCTTGAGGACAGATATACAGTCAGACACTTACAAAAGTACAGAAGGGTCACTACTTTGTCTGCTGAGATGATAGGATAACGCTACTAACAAGCCACAGAATATTGAGAAGAGGACTGGAATATGCTGGCCATCCCAAGAATCCTGGGGACAGAAGAATTAAATTTTAACAGAAAGACAAGGATATATAAAATCAGTATCACAAATCAGAAAACGTGTAAAGTAATAAGAAAAAAGAAAGATGAAAAAAGTCATATGCTTTTCAAAATAAAGGTATTTTGTTAAAATGTTCACCAATACTTTCTATAAGTTAAAGCCTTTAATCAGTTTTTATTCCTGTTAAATAAAGACTTGAACTGTCTCCTGTTCAAGTCAACGGAAAACTCCTACTAACCTTAATGATCATGTCCTAAGAGTGCTACCGTCTGATCAAGCATAAGGTTAGAATGCCCATGTTCATACACTTTATTTGTATAATTAGTGCTTATTTCATAAGTATCTACATATTCGCTTCTAGTTTGCCTATAACAATGTTATGTAAGTGGTGAATACCATATGAACACTATAATAAATTGTTTCAACTTTCCCTTGTGGTACTTGTTGACACACTGGGACCAGGTCTTCTTGGAGTCAGATTGCTTGGGAATGCAGCCCAAACCTGGTAGTAAAACTCCATCTAAGGCTATAATAAATTAGTGTGTGTTTACTATGCTGCATCACTTGGGTTCAAAAGTAATTCACAATGAATCCTCATTTTGGTTTTAGAAGACTGCAATAGTTTTATTATTTGAAGTTTATTTTACAAGTACCACACAGTCGTATGTAATTTACCCATGTAATTAAATGTTCAACAGTTTTAATGTACTGTACGTACTATTATCACATACCGCATGATCATAATCCCTTAAAAATTATTCAAATTGAAGTTCCATTCTGAAAATTGACTATGTAAAAAAGTGTCACCTTCTTACTCAATAGAACTAATCTTTTTGTAACGTTTGCTGACTTTAGATGAAAAAATATTTATTCTTTTACTCCTACTATGCTGGATCTGCAGTGATCAGATTGATTTAACAAAGTTTTGTTCTATCTTGTATATCAACTGATTTGTTTACTATGATCTAATCAGTTACACCCCTGCAAAGATACTGAAAATGATTGCGGATCTATAGGTTCACCGAGGGCACAATTTGGCTAGTAAATCTTTCCATCATCACAAGTAATAAAAAGCTAGGTTGACTCTCAGAGCCCAGGCTGAGCATGCAGGACTGACTGTTAGAAAAAGTCATTTTACTTGTAAACTGAGCACATTTGACCTAGAAATCAATGACACACTACACACAAACATGGAAGTCAGAGTGTCATTTTTATATAATTGTTTTTCAGAGTAAAACTGTACTTTGAGCAAGTATACATTTTTCTTTGTTCCCTTGCACTTGTCAGCTGCCTCTCAATCCCTCTCCCATAAACAGATATTCACCACATCAGCAGAGCAAACTATACCCTGCTTTCTTTTCAAAATTAGCATGTAAAAATATTTTATTTCTAATTTGCATCATCGGGAGTGAGTTTTCAAATTCAACCTTTTGGATGAATTGGAAAAACACCAACGCATGAAGACAGTGCAAGTAGTTGACCAACTGTAATGTGCCCCACACAAGAATCTGTGCAGAACATAAATTTAAGGGAAACGGGGAGAGCTTCACTGAACATGAGTGCGTATTAGATTGTTACATGATCTTATGAAATTAAACATATGGCAAAGTAAGTGTAAAACCTTACCAAATCAGAATGATAACACTTTACACCCACTTTTCACAAATGTAAATAAGTAGACAAAAGGGAAAGGCAGAGGAGAATCAAATCCTAAATATTTATTTATATACTATCAATGTACTGCTCACCTTCAGGGCACCATAACAGAATCCATACAATAATGCTACTGCCACAATACTACAGATGAAACTGTAAAGAGCTGCAAGCAGGCTTGTAGTGGCTGGAAGTAAAAGGGGGAGAAAAGGATCAGCTGCACAAATTTGAAGACATAAGACTTTTTAAAGTTGACTGAACAAAAAACTACAAAAATTGCAACACTTCATTGCTTCAATACCTGCTCAGATGTTAGAAAAATTCTAACAATTCCTACTTTGCAAATACAGTCTCTCTCTCCCACACAAGTTATTTTTTTAACTTGAGCATGATTTACATGTTTTGTTTACCATTTATTCAACAGCACTGCCTTGGGAATAGTTAACTATTGCTGCAGCAAACGCAGTAGCTGAAAGCTAACACTATGTTGGACCTATGTGATTAATCTTCTTAATTCTCAGCAATAAACCAGGGAATATTTTCTCTTTTATAAACAAAATATAAATTTAGAAGCTGGAGGCAATTTGACACTTGATACTCTTATGGAAGGTTAAATTCGGAGCCCTGCATAGTTGATAGCACTACTAACTTATATAATCTGTTCTCATTTTGGTTTTTGTTGATGAATATTTCTTGCCAAAAAATGTTTTTGAAACACATCACTGAAAAAGTTAAGGTGGGCAGCTAGTATTGAACACATATGTTTTGGGATAAGGAGATTAGGTAACACAATAGGGGAGCTTGGTAATGAAGTGATGAGTGAGATATTTTCAAATCCTAGTGAAAGTGCAAGTCAACACTGCATCAGGAGCACTGCATGACTGAAAGTGTCTGCTCAGAAATCTGAGAACACAAGGATGCTGCAGGAAAGGTATTAATTTAAATGTATACCTAATACAGTAACTCCTCACTTAAAGTCGTCCCAGTTAACGTTGTTTCGTTGCTGATCAATTAGAGAACTTGCTCATTTAAAGTTGCGCAATGCTCCCTTATAACGTTGTTTGGCAGCCGCCTGTTTTGTCCAGTGCTTGCAGAAAGAGCAGCCCCTTGGAGCTAGCTGGTGGGGGCTTTGAACCAGGGTGGACCGGCTCCCTTAAGTTCCCTGTGCGGCAGCTGCCCAGCAGGCTATCAGTTGCCGGCAGTTCAGCTGTCCCTCCCCCCACTGCCATGTGCTGCCTTGAAGCTGCTTCTGGGAGCCTTCTGCTTGCTGTGCAGGGGAGGGGAGGAGATGAGGGGTGCTAATATCAGGGTGTCCCCCTCCGCTTACCCCGTCTCCATAGAGTAGGGGAACACAAGACAGGGCTCAGAATGGAGAGAGCTTGCTGATCTACTTAAAAAGGCAATGTACTTAGAGTGGCAATGAGCATCTCTCTCTCCCACCTGTGTGTGTGTCTCTGTCTCCCATGCTGTCTCCCCGCCCTCCATTTGTGCTGCCTTGTAGAGTGTGAGGCTACATTAACAACAATGTGTTAACCCTTGAGGGCTCAGCCAAGTGCTATTTCATAATTTAGCAGTAAGGCATTTCCTCGGAAATAGCCCACCCTCTGACTTCCACCTCAACCAAGCTTCACAATCATCATTGCTGTGTACAGTATTAAATTGTTTAAAACTTATAGAGTGTGTGTGTGTGTGTGTGTGTGTGTGTGTGTGTGTGTGTGTGTGTACTAACCTACCTCCT